CCGCTCCGACCGCCACCGCCACCACCGCCACCACCGCCACCGCCGCCACCGCCGCCACCGCCGCCGCCGCCACTACTGCCACTGCTTCCGCCGCCGCCCCCGCCTCCACCACCGACCCCACTCCCACCAGCGCTCCCGCCACCGCTCCCTCCAGCACCGCCTCCCCCCCCACCTCCCCCACCTCCTCCCCCCCCAGCGCCACCACCACCACCCTTGCCCCCCTTGCCCTTGCCGGTGCGGCGCCTCCCACCAGGAGCAGAAGCAGCGCCAACAGACTCAGCACCAAGGAAGTCAACAGCAGCAGCAGCAGCGTAGGAGGGAGCGAGGGGAGAGGGAGAACACCCCTCAAAGATGGGGGTGCGAGGAGCGCCACGAGCAGCACCAACAGCTACAATGCTCTTTTCGGCCGCGAGCAGCTGCTCCTCTAGGAGGGCGACTGTGAGCTCAGTGGGACAGCGAGCAAGGAAGTGGTCTCGAACTGAGCGGAGGGTGTCAGGGAGACGGGTGACTATGAAGTGGAGTGTCCAGTACAGTGGAGGGGGGTTCTTAGCGCAGAACTCGGTGGGAAGGGCGGCACGCAGGCGAGCATCACTAGTGCGAAGGTGGGTGATAAGATCGGCGACTGTAGTAAAGGTGGACAGATCGGGGAACAGGTACGGCAGCATGAGGCGGCTAAGCTCGGCTGTGGCAGGCGAGGAGTAGCGAGCAACGACAGCATCGTACAGGGCCTTAGCGGATTTGCAGTCGCCAAAATGCTCGAGCTCAGCTAGCGGCAGGTGACTACGAATGGCTAGGCGAGCAGCTGCGTCACGAGTCTGCCAGTGGGAACGAACACTAAGCTCGGCTGTGGCAGCAGGAGCAGCGGCAGCACCAGACGCGTAGTCATAGAGGGAGATGTGGTCCGTGCTATTGCTCATAAGATACAACTGCAGGTCGTCGAGCCAGGAAGTGAACTGCACGGGACGGCCCTCAGCATCGAAGGAAAGAACGCGAATAGAGGCCATAGCTCAGGCGTGAGGGCACAGCAGAGCAGCGGCAGCAGCAGAGGGGACGCAGCAAGCGGGCAGTGAGGCAGCGGGCGGCGCTGCGAAGCAGGTAGCGGGCGGGCGGGCGGCGCTGCGAGCGGGCAGCGAAGCGGGCGGGCCGCGAAGCGGGCAGCGAGCGGGCGGGCGGGCTGCGAAGCGGGCAGCGGGGCGAGCGGGCTGCGAAGCGGGCGGGCCGCGAAGCGGGCAGCGAGCGGGCGGGCGGGCTGCGAAGTGGGCGGGCCGCGAAGCGGGCAGCGGGGCGAGCGGGCTGCGAGGCGGGCGGGCCGCGAAGCGGGCAGCGAGCGGGCGGGCCGCGAAGCGGGCAGCGAGCGAGCGGGCTGCGAAGCGGGCGGGCCGCGAAGCGGGCAGCGAGCGGGCGGGCGGGCCGCGAAGCGGGCAGCGAGCGGGCGGGCGGGCCGCGAAGCGGGCAGCGAGCGGGCGAGCGGGCTGCGAAGCGGGCGGGCCGCGGAGCGGGCAGCGAGCGAGCGGGCTGCGAAGCGGGCGGGCCGCGAAGCGGGCAGCGAGCGGGCGGGCGGGCTGCGTGGCGGGCGGGCCGCGAAGCGGGCAGCGAGCGGGCGGGCGGGCTGCGAAGCGGGCAGCAGGACGAGCGGGCTGCGAGCGGGCGGCTCGGCGGGCGGGCGACACTGCGAGGGGCGCGCGAGGGCGCTAGTGAGGGCGCGCGAGGGCGCTAGCAAGGGGCGCGCGAGGGCGCTAACGAGGGGCGCGCGAGGGCGCTAACGAGGGTGCGCGCGAGGGCGCTAACGAGGGGCGCGCGAGGGCGCTAACGAGGGCGCACGAGGGCGCTACGAGGCTAGGGCACGGGGTAGCGTGGTAACCGCATGCGAGCGGTGGTGGGCCCTTAAAAAAAACGGTCGGTAGGTCCTAGGGACCTCCTGCTCTGAATACCATTTCAGAATAGCTAGGCAAGAATGGATGAACTAGCAGAAGTTTGGGTACAAATATGAAACCCTAGTTGGGGTTGTACCCCATATTGGCTACCCCACTACAGCCTACAAGCATAATACAGTTTAACATATACTTCATCTACGCATACCGTAACATCATCCGGCTTATGCATTACGGAATAAACAGTCACGCGTTCACAGGAACATCATTTTAGCAACCCATAGAGTATAGGTTCGGTCAAGGCGAACCAAGAAATGAGAAGAAATGTGGTAAGGTGCATACTAAATTGCCATGGCAAAGACATGGCAGTCAGTTCTTAGTTACCTTATCCTTTTTTTTTTTTAAGTAAAGAGGATGAAAAAAAAAATTGAACATAACGATTGTAATAGGTTGCTTCGCAACCCAAAAAGGTCCTTAGGACCGATTATTGCTCTGTACCATGTCAAGAAGCTAGGCTAGGTTAGGAACCTAGGAGAGTGGCGAGAGAGTGGAATGTCGAGAAAGAAGGGGGTTAACTATAGGCTCGAGGGTACAAATAGGAGACAAAGGAGGTGCACCACCAATACAAAGAGTTTATAACTACACTAAAGCTACAGCTACAGGCAGGTACATAAATATATATAAATATATATTCTAACAGTAAGAGTGTCCCTAATCCTATCCAGAGGCCTGATGGTGTACAAGAACCGTCGTACATGTTCTGAGGGGAATACAAAATGCATCAATGCAGCAACTGAGATTGATATGGTACGGAAGAGGCGAGCAAAGCTGCCCCACCGACGATCACAATCCCAGTTGCATACACGAGGCACTTAGTACCACACCCCCGAAACAAGCACAGACGATAACACACAAACCGTCACAAAAACAGAGGACAACGATTGAGAATGTTTCAAAGCGAATACTAAATGCATCAATGCTGCAACTAAGATTGATATGGTACCAGGCCCCCAGAAGTCGGAGAAATTTCTCTGATTTGCCTAAAAAAGTCTGATATTCAGCCTTTTTTTTAAGTGGACTCTGAAAGTTCAGAGTTTTTTTGGCAGCAAACTCTGAATATTCAGAAAAAAAGTATAGGCATTGTCTGAAATTTCAGACTTTTCCTCGGAGTGTACTCTGATTCCTGATCCTGTTTGGGCTCTCTGCTCCGATTGTACCTACGCGAACTCTGCACAGACAGCCGCAATTAGCGCCGGAAGGATCGTTTCGTCCTGTCAGTCACGCTGAAACAGTGACAGCACTGCTGCTGCGCGGGTGTATCGTCTCGTTTTAGGCTGATCGGTAAGCTTCACTACTATGTGAACTTTGCTCTATCAGACTTTTGTATGTTTGAACTCTGAAATTTCAGACTTTTTTTTGGAATCAAGTCTGATTGATCAGACTAAAAATGTGCACTAAGTCTGATGAATCAGACAGCTTGAAAACGAATCTGAGGGCCTGTATGGTACGGAAGAGGCTTGCATAGCTGCCCCACCGACGATCACAATCCGAGTTGCATTCACGAGGCACTTAGCACCACACCTCGAAACAAAACACCACACACATATGCACATGTACGCACTCACACACATACACAGACACACACAACGCAAAAAGCATACGGTACAGCTATGGTAATAAGCATGCAAGCGTAATGAATGAAGTTCAGCCTTGTGTAAATCACTACTAGCTTGTGCCCCATTCCACTCCCTCCCTCCCTCCCTCCCTCCCTCCCTCCCGCCCCCCTCCCTCCCTCCCTCCCTCCCTCCCTCCCTCCCTCATTTCCCTCATCTCCCTTCTCCCCATCCCTTTTCTCCGCAAGAAAAGAAGGCTGGAGCTTGAACTCCCTGCACAGGAAAGAAGAAACAGCGAATGCAACTCACTCCCTGCACAAACAAAAACAAAATCAAAGAATACAACTTGCATGAGTTGCACAAAGAAACAAAATCAGAGAATGCAGATTCCATGACGCACAAGAAACAAATTGTCCGATTCACTAAAAAAAACGTTTGCGGAACTGAAATTGAAGCTGAAGAATGCAATATACAAACGAAAGATGAGTGATGGAAACATTCAAATTTGGCATCTTACAAATGTGACTTGATAGTAAACATTATGTCAGAATGCATGCAAAACCTTGCGGCCACCCTTGCATTCACCTCAACATTCACCCTTACGATCATCCTCACACATGCACGCACTCACGCTTGGAATCATACTTGCACTCGCCTTCGCATTCACCACTGCAATCACACCCGCACCATCGCGCTCAACCTCTAAACCCTCACACACATCCGCAGCACTCAGGCACGCATTCTCCCTCGCACTCACCCTCACATTCGCCCTCACTCTCATATCCACACTCACGCTCGCATTCGCCCTCGCACTCACACCAGCACTCTCGCGCGCACTCTCGCGCGCACTCTTGCGCGCGCTCTCACGCCTCTCTCGCACGCTCCCTCATGCGCAAACTCACGCGCCCTCACGCGCTCGCTCGCGCGCTCCCTCGCGCGCTCCCTCGCGCGCTCCCTCACGCACTCTTTCGCACGCACTCTCGAGCGCACTCTCACGCGCTCTCTCTCGCGCACTCTCCGGCGGCGCTCCCTCACGCGCTCTCTCACGCGCTCTCTCACGCGCTCTCTCACGCGTGCTCTCACGCGCTCTCTCCCGCGCTCCCTTGCGCGCACTATCGCACGCACGCTTGCGCGCTCTCTCGCGCGCTCTCTCACACGCACTCTCACGCACACTCACGCGCTCTCTCACGCGCACTCTCACGCGCTCTCTCACGCGCACTCTCTCACCCTATCCCACGCACCATATCACGCGCTCTCTCACGCGCTCTCACACGCTCTTTCACGCGCTCTCTCACGCGCTCTCTCACGCGCTCTCTCACGCGCACTCTCCTGTGCGTGCGCTCCCGTGCACACGCTCTTCCTCGCGCTCCGCGTCTCTCCCTTTTTTCACGAAGAGAGCTACGGAAGAGGAGACCAATCGGCACACGAAAAAAACGACGAGAGCAAAAAAGGAAGAAATTTTAGAGGCGGAAGGGAGAATGAAAGGACCGGGAACGCACCTGAAAACCACGGTAACTCATGAAACAATCCGCGCTCGCGCACCAACGCGCTCGCGCACCAACTCGCGCTCGCGCACCAACTCGCGCTCGCGCACCAACTCGCGCTGGCGCTCGTGCACCTGTCGCCGGAGGCGACGGCGGGGAGGAGGGTGACGCGACGGCGGGGAGGAGGGTGACGCGACGGCGGGGAGGAGGGGGAGGCGACGGCGGGGAGGAGGGGGAGGCGACGGCGGGGAGGAGGGTGAGGCGACGGCGGGGAGGAGGGGGAGGCGACGGCGGGGAGGAGGGTGAGGCGACGGCGGGGAGGAGGGGGAGGCGACGGCGGGGAGGAGGGGGAGGCGACGGCGGGGAGGAGGGGGAGGCGACGGCGGGGAGGAGGGGGAGGCGACGGCGGGGGGAGGAGAGGCGACGGCGGGAAGGAGGGGAGGCGACGGCGGGGAGGAGTGGGAGGCGACGACGGCGGGAAGGAGGAGATGCGACGGCGAGGAGGAGGAGAGGCGACGGCGGGAAGGAGGAGACGCGACGGCGAGGAGGGAGAAAGAGGATACGGGGGATGGGAGGGAGAGAGACGGCTGGGTGGGAGGTGCTAGCGACGGCGGGGTGTTAGGAGAAAAAGCTAGAGAAGAGAATGGGGTGGGGGGGAGAGTGAGCAAGCAGGTGCTTCTCGAGAGAAACGAACAAGAACCAAGAAATGAAGAGCGCGTCAAATTCGGTTTGACAGCTGTGAAAGGGACGGATATCCCTTGGTTGTGGTTGTTGTGGAGCTGGCGAGAATTTTTTTGCCAGCGCAGAACGAGGAACCGAAACTTTCTATGTACAGTATACATTGTAATATGAGCACAAGGGTGAATGGCAAGCAAAAACAAAATCTAGGCATTTGGCAATACTAAACACTAGACTTGAAAGCTAGTGTCACGTGAAAACACATGCGTGCCACGCCATCCCACTAGCTGACACAGCAGATACGGTACAGTAATTGCAAACATAAAACCCGCTATAGTACGCTGATAGAACTATAGAATATGCACTAGGTGTAAACAATTCATCTTTTTATGATCACAAAAAATTTGATCCATATTAATTAGCACTCAAAACAATTTTGAGGGAAGAAATTTCTAGAAAATGTATTTTCGCCGTAATAAGGGACTATCGATCTTGTCATGTTTTAAGTTATTATACCTCATCATGAAGAACTTAGTAAACGCAGTGGATACAACCCTACGCAACCCTTTCGACGTAAACGTCGAAGCTTGTTTTAGACACCCTCACCAGAGTTGTGAATGAGTTTACTCTGTTATTACAGTACAGTGTGACAGGCGCGGCAGGGCCAGGAGTTTGTAGGGGGTGTTCGGTGTTCTATGACGGAAGTTTTCCGTTTTGAAATAACCGTCGGTGGAGAAAGAGAGGAGGAAGAGTTAATGGGAAGGTAGGAAAAGCAGGCCAAACAGGGTAAACCGCCTTCAAACATTGAGCCCTCGTCCGTGGTCCCCACCGACCTGCGTGTGCTCTCGTTTTTGTGGCTGTGGCCACTCAATCCCACTGCTTGTTGCGTGGCCCCGTCGTTTTGCTGAACTCACATGTTGGTTGGGGTTAGGGGGGATCGATTTCCCAGCCTGGCCAAGGCACAGCAAGATTTGTGTCCAACCTTCTGCAATGGTGAACACCGAACACTCATAATTACCGCTGCCGAGAGAGGGAATGAGAATCTTCCATCACATTCATTACACCTAGTCACCGATAATCTCAGGTCCTTCAACGTGTTTCAGGGACACCCCTCATCAATTCGGAAAAATTAGTCAGACATCCAGGGGATAATGATGTTGTTTTTTGCTCGATCTCGCAAGTCTCACGCTTGAGTGGACTACTAGGCGAAGCATGTAAACAGTCGCGGGTGCACTAGGTCTTCTTTGTCCACCGCCGGGTAGCAACGGGCCTAGAGGAAGGCATGAGAGAAGGGTGTGGAAGTGGCCTCGGGAATTTTTGAGAATGAAGGGAGTGGGGGAGAAGGACTTACGTGAGGCTTCAAGAATTTTCAGGGAAAGCCGGGTTCTGCCCTAAACAAATCCGGAAGTCGGTCCAGAACAGCCCTGAAATGTCACGGGTGGCCCGTAATTTGAAAACTAGAACAGTGGATGTGCCCCCAGACCCAAACCGCAATGACACAATCCTTCAGGGAACGAAGGGGCAAATGCCTCAATCAACTCGTCCAGAGAGGCATTCGGTTGGGAAAAAGATGACATGGACTCTGGTTTGCTCCTATCCGTACGTGCTCTCCCATCCATGTCATCCTGCACAGCCCATTCCCTCGCTCGGAACACCCTGTAACAACTGTGGTGTGGATCTTAGAAACTATGCATGGGTGCCGCCTTTTGCGCACGATTTCCAGCACGAGATACCAAGCACATGAATTTCAACGTATGGGTTTCACTAACCCGATAATTCATAGCGCATGGATTGGCGGCTGAATGACGTAAAACGAAGTAACTGATTTAGGAGTCTCCTATTTGTTGGTAGAATAATGCAGTAACTACGGGGAAAGGTAGGATTTGTCACTATGAACCCTGCTTGTGACTCCTGTCCGAAACTCAGGGGCGGCGTGTCGGTAATGAAAAGTTTGCGATCTAGAGCAATTCGATCGCATATCGAAACGGCGGAGTAGGGTTTCGATTTTAAAAAATTGGACTCATGTCACACGCAACCACATTGGCCTCTGCGACAGTACTCTGTGACCTATTCCTCCACTCCTCAACCAGTGTGCTCGAGAACGTGCGGGAAGACCGGACGAGATAGAGTTGGGACTTCGAAACGTCAAGATCATTCTTTTCCGCGGCGATGTCGAGTCGGGGGTTGGCCCTGTCGCGAATGGCTATGGCGGCGGCGGTGGCGGTGTGGATGGGGCTTGCGGGCATGCTGGCGGGGCTGGTGGCGTGGAGGGTGCAGAAGGGCTTCGACGACAATCGCAAGGCTGGTGCGCCGGTCGCGCGCGCTCGCTGCAGCAGCAGTTCATGCTCACCGCCGACCACGTGCAGGTACCGCCGACCACGTGCAGGTACCGCCGACCACGTGCAGGTACACGCCCGACCACGTGCAGGTAGACGGCGCACCGGCGCGTTCAGGTGCGCGAATGCCGCGATGCTTCGCCAATGTGCGAAATTCTTAGCGCGGATGATTGCGAAACGGGAATGCGTCGGTAGGAGCTCGCTAAGATCCGCCAACCTCCACTCGTACACGCCGATCCAGCCCGCGACAACCAAAATCCGGTTATCACTACAGTGTATCAAGGCCATTTGTGCAGCAGCATTTTGCACAGTAACCTAAATTGTCTCGGTGGTAGTTTACTTGTGGCGTCGCTGTGGCCGTCAGGTTGATAGAATAGCTACGCGTGAAGGCGTCAAGCCCAGTGCGTGGCGATGGGTGCAAGCGGTATAAGGAATGCGGGTTGAATAAGCGGATCCGAGGTGGCACATGACGCTGAGCGTGATTGCATGCGACGAAGAGTCTTCAGAATCTAGGAGTTGTCGCACGGGCTGGTGTTGAGACCAACACGCACTAACGTTGGCGACAAAGTTGAGATGGATGCATGAGGGAGTAAGGGCGTAACCCTGTGTGAGAAGCTCATGTGGACCACTGGAGCACTCAATTGACAGCCGTGTGCTGTGTGAGCCACGTGCTGTGTGAGCCACGTGCTGTGTGAGCCACGTGCTGTGTGAGCCACGTGCAGTGTGAGCCACGTGCAGTGTGAGCCACGTTTAGTGTGAGCCACGTGCAGTGTGAGCCACGTGCAGTGTGAGCCACGTGCTGTGTGAGTCACGTGCTGTGTGAACCAGCCACGTGCTGTGAGAGCCACGTGCAGTGTGAGCCACGTGTAGTGTGGGCCACGTGCTGTGTGAGTCACGTGCTGTGTGAGCCACGTGCTGTGAGAGCCACGTGCAGTGTGAGCCACGTGCAGTGTGAGCCACGTGTAGTGTGAGCCGCGTGCCGCGTGAGCCGTGTAAAGCCTCAGCCTGTGCATTGCAGCGCCATCACTCTATTCACACTGGACGTGCCCCCTCGTCATGCCCTCCCTGCCCTCCCATGCGCCCCCCATGCGCCCCTCATGTGGGCCCCATGCGCCCCTCATGTGGGCCCCATGCGCCGCCAACACATCCATCAGGTGCTGGCGGGGCTGGCAACAGTGTTCGGCGGCGTGCGGCAGAACCCCTGGGCGGTGGGCAGCTGCCTCACGCAGCGCCGCTTCGTGCGCTTTGTGGAGCGCATGGTAGCCGCGCAGCCATGGGTGCACGCCGTCGCCTACATGACGCTCATCAATGGCTCCCGCAGGTCGCCCCCTTGCCTCCCCCGCCCCTGCTGTCTTATGAGTCGACTCAAAAGTGATTTCGTGTGCTGCCTCGTGGAATGCATGGTGGCGGCACGGCCATGGGTGCACGCCGTCGCCTACATGACCCTCATCAACGGCTCCCGCAGGTCGCCTCATGTTCGCCCTTCTGTCTCCCCCCCTTTGCTGTCTAATCCCTTCATCCCTCCTCCCTCCCTCCGCCTCACCATGCTTCTCTGGCTCTCTGGCTCACGTGCAAGGCCGGCAGACAGTCTTGCAGAAGCGGTCCTGTGTTTTCCTTTCCCCCCGCCCCGCTTTTGCAAACCTCTACTCTAGTTTGAATTTTATGGAGTGGACTTCTGCTGGCATCAGCATACTCTTGCCCGCTCACCATTATCACACCACCTTGTCTACCATAAGCAAAACCTTTTCTTTGTCTTCCTTCTCCCCATCTCCTCGTCCTCCTCGTTCCCCTCCTCGCCCGTCCCACCCTCCATCCTCCCCCCACCCCGCCCCTATTTCCCCTCTCCCCCACTGCAGGATGGCGTTTGAACAGCAAGCGCAGTGCAAGCTGTTGGACATTCTCGGCAAGCCGGCCCCGGAGGCAGACTGGTACATGAACTCGCGCGTGTGGTTCCAGGAGAACCCCTTGCTGCCGCTGCTGGAGGTGGGGTGTGTGTGCATCAACGTGCGCACGCACCCCTCGTACGGCCCTCAGCTCGCGCGCATGCACCAACTCGCCACCAACCTGCTCAGCATGCCCTACGTGCTGGACAATGGCGAGGCTGGCATGGGTGAGTGGGAGGGCCACGGGTTTACGGTTTAGGGTGAGGGGCGTGGGTGAGTGTGAGGGGCGTAGGTGAGAAGATGGAAGTGCTGTTGCTCCTTGTCCCTTCCCAAGTTGCAACGTTCTCTCCTTCCCATTCCCAATTCTTCCATCACCACACTCTCTATCTCTCACTCGCTCATCCTCTACATACGTACCTTACCCCTCGTCCCCATCCCCTCCCCGCCAATGAGCGGGCAGGCATGGGATTCCCCATCTTCAGGGACGGGGTCACCACAGCCTCGCCGCTGGAGGAGAGGCGGGCGGCGTTGATCGGCCTCATTGCTGCGTCAATCGACTTCAAGAGCCTTGCTGCGTTCATCATTAATGAAGTGCTCCGCCAAGGTGCTGTGCTGCTAGTGCTGCTACTCCAAGGAAATACATTAATATGTATGTATATATATGTATATATGTGTATATATATGTATATATGTATATATATGTATGTATATGTATGTATATATATATATACATATTTGTGCAGGATAATATGTCTTTCTTTTCACATTCTTCCTTTCTTTCTTTCTCACTCTCCTTTTCCAGATGTGCAGTATTCCCTCGAGGTCTATGACGTCACCTCCAGTGATCGCCTCGCCTTCTCCCCCTCCTCCTCCTCCTCCTCCTCCTCCTCCTCCTCCTCCTCCTCCTCCTCCTCCTCCTCCTCCTCCTCCTCCTCCTCCTCCTCCTCCTCCTCCTCCTCCTCCTCCTCCTCTGGCCATCGCCTGCTGTACGGGGTGGGTGACTTGCCTCAAGGCGACCCCATGCAAGTGGCCAAGCTCATTCCGCCCTCCAACGAGTCAATGCTGCAGCCACACCGCTATAAGGCCGTGCAGCAGATTAACCTCACCGACTCAACGCACACCTACCAGCTCTGGTGCCGGTGAGTTACATTAGGTTGCTCCCCTTTCACAGGAATGGCTCCTCCTCCAACTCACAACCTTCCATTTCTGTGGCTAAGTAAGGCCGATCTCGTGCTTCCCTCACGCTTCACACTGCCCTCCACGCCTCACACTGCACTCCTCTGCCCGCAGCTTTGGCGATGCCGACACGGTCCACAGCTGGACGGCCATGCTGCTGGCGGTGGTGATCGTGGTGGTGGCGGCGCTGCTGGCGGGCGTCGGGGTGAGCGTGGCGTGCAACACGCGCGGCGTGCGGGAGAAGGTGGCGGCGCTGGCGGTGCTCAAGGAGAGAACGCAGGCGGCGGAGCGAAACAAGAGTGCCTTCATCGCCAACACCGCGCATGAGCTGCGCACCCCTATCATCGGCCTCAAGGGTTAGTGGGGAGCGGTGGGGCGCAACCTCAATTGTAAATATATTTCTCGCATCCGTTTTCGGCCCCCTCCACCTATGCCCCTTCTTATGCCTTAGAAAAAGCCATCACACATCTCACAAGCAAGCGTTGTGTGTGTGTGTTTTTTTTTTGGAACCTCTGTACTGATTGTTTGTGCGTGTGCCTTGGCCAGTCACGTGCCGTGTGGATACGAGTGTGCCGGAGGTGCTGGAGGGGGACTACATGCGCCTGCAGCAAGTGGTGGACAGCATTGTTGGTGAGCCACCTGGGTTGAACGGGTTTTCTGGTGCATTGTTGGTGAGCCAAGTGGTGGACAGCATTGCTGGTGAGCCGAGTGGTGGACAGCATTGCTGGTGAGCCGAGTGGTGGACAGCATTGCTGGTGAGCCGAGTGGTGGACAGCATTGCTGGTGAGCCGAGTGGTGGACAGCATTGCTGGTGAGCCGAGTGGTGGACAGCATTGCTGGTGAGCCGAGTGGTGGACAGCATTGCTGGTGAGCCGAGTGGTGGACAGCATTGCTGGTGAGCCGAGTGGTGGACAGCATTGCTGGTGAGCCGAGTGGTGGACAGCATTGCTGGTGAGCCGAGTGGTGGACAGCATTGGTGGTGAGCCGAGTGGTGGACAGCATTGGTGGTGAGCCGAGTGGTGGACAGCATTGGTGGTGAGCCGAGTGGTGGACAGCATTGGTGGTGAGCCGAGTGGTGGACAGCATTGGTGGTGAGCCGAGTGGTGGACAGCATTGGTGGTGAGCCGAGTGGTGGACAGCATTGGTGGTGAGCCGAGTGGTGGACAGCATTGGTGGTGAGCCGAGTGGTGGACAGCATTGGTGGTGAGCCGAGTGGTGGACAGCATTGGTGGTGAGCCGAGTGGTGGACAGCATTGGTGGTGAGCCGAGTGGTGGACAGCATTGGTGGTGAGCCGAGTGGTGGACAGCATTGGTGGTGAGCCGAGTGGTGGACAGCATTGGTGGTGAGCCGAGTGGTGGACAGCATTGGTGGTGAGCCGAGTGGTGGACAGCATTGGTGGTGAGCCGAGTGGTGGACAGCATTGGTGGTGAGCCGAGTGGTGGACAGCATTGGTGGTGAGCCGAGTGGTGGACAGCATTGATGGATTGAGGAGAATGGGGGTTTACATAGGGAATGGGTTGGATCCTAGCCTAGGTGAGCATTATTGGACCCCACCCATGAAGTTGGGTTGGGGGATTATTGGTGGGGTCCAATAATGTTGGCCAAGTTGGGGTTGGGCCAACATTATTGGTGTGAACCAATAATTCTACCCAACCCAACCTTTGGGGTCCAATAATTGGACCAAGGTTGGGTTTCCAACCTACAAATTGGGTAACCCCTGCTTGTACACCCAAACTAAGTTTGGGTGCTTATCTCTAGCCTATCCTATAACATCTATGCAGGTTACAAGAGAAGATAGATTCTAACACATTATTGGTGAGCCGAGTGATGGACAGCATTGTTGGTGAGCCGAGTGGTGGACAGCATTGTGGGTGAGCCGAGTGGTGGACAGCATTGTGGGTGAGCCGAGTGGTGGACAGCATTGTGGGTGAGCCGAGTGGTGGACAGCATTGTGGGTGAGCCGAGTGGTGGACAGCATTGTGGGTGAGCCGAGTGGTGGACAGCATTGTGGGTGAGCCGAGTGGTGGACAGCATTGTGGGTGAGCCGAGTGGTGGACAGCATTGTGGGTGAGCCGAGTGGTGGACAGCATTGTGGGTGAGCCGAGTGGTGGACAGCATTGTGGGTGAGCCGAGTGGTGGACAGCATTGTGGGTGAGCCGAGTGGTGGACAGCATTGTGGGTGAGCCGAGTGGTGGACAGCATTGTGGGTGAGCCGAGTGGTGGACAGCATTGTGGGTGAGCCGAGTGGTGGACAGCATTGTGGGTGAGCCGAGTGGTGGACAGCATTGTGGGTGAGCCGAGTGGTGGACAGCATTGTGGGTGAGCCGAGTGGTGGACAGCATTGTGGGTGAGCCGAGTGGTGGACAGCATTGTGGGTGAGCCGAGTGGTGGACAGCATTGTGGGTGAGCCGAGTGGTGGACAGCATTGTGGGTGAGCCGAGTGGTGGACAGCATTGTGGGTGAGCCGAGTGGTGGACAGCATTGTGGGTGAGCCGAGTGGTGGACAGCATTGTGGGTGAGCCGAGTGGTGGACAGCATTGTGGGTGAGCCGAGTGGTGGACAGCATTGTGGGTGAGCCGAGTGGTGGACAGCATTGTGGGTGAGCCGAGTGGTGGACAGCATTGTGGGTGAGCCGAGTGGTGGACAGCATTGTGGGTGAGCCGAGTGGTGGACAGCATTGTGGGTGAGCCGAGTGGTGGACAGCATTGTGGGTGAGCCGAGTGGTGGACAGCATTGTGGGTGAGCCGAGTGGTGGACAGCATTGTGGGTGAGCCGAGTGGTGGACAGCATTGTGGGTGAGCCGAGTGGTGGACAGCATTGTGGGTGAGCCGAGTGGTGGACAGCATTGTGGGTGAGCCGAGTGGTGGACAGCATTGTGGGTGAGCCGAGTGGTGGACAGCATTGTGGGTGAGCCGAGTGGTGGACAGCATTGTGGGTGAGCCGAGTGGTGGACAGCATTGTGGGTGAGCCGAGTGGTGGACAGCATTGTGGGTGAGCCGAGTGGTGGACAGCATTGTGGGTGAGCCGAGTGGTGGACAGCATTGTGGGTGAGCCGAGTGGTGGACAGCATTGTGGGTGAGCCGAGTGGTGGACAGCATTGTGGGTGAGCCGAGTGGTGGACAGCATTGTGGGTGAGCCGAGTGGTGGACAGCATTGTGGGTGAGCCGAGTGGTGGACAGCATTGTGGGTGAGCCGAGTGGTGGACAGCATTGTGGGTGAGCCGAGTGGTGGACAGCATTGTGGGTGAGCCGAGTGGTGGACAGCATTGTGGGTGAGCCGAGTGGTGGACAGCATTGTGGGTGAGCCGAGTGGTGGACAGCATTGTGGGTGAGCCGAGTGGTGGACAGCATTGTGGGTGAGCCGAGTGGTGGACAGCATTGTGGGTGAGCCGAGTGGTGGACAGCATTGTGGGTGAGCCGAGTGGTGGACAGCATTGTGGGTGAGCCGAGTGGTGGACAGCATTGTGGGTGAGCCGAGTGGTGGACAGCATTGTGGGTGAGCCGAGTGGTGGACAGCATTGTGGGTGAGCCGAGTGGTGGACAGCATTGTGGGTGAGCCGAGTGGTGGACAGCATTGTGGGTGAGCCGAGTGGTGGACAGCATTGTGGGTGAGCCGAGTGGTGGACAGCATTGTGGGTGAGCCGAGTGGTGGACAGCATTGTGGGTGAGCCGAGTGGTGGACAGCATTGTGGGTGAGCCGAGTGGTGGACAGAATTGTGGGTGAGTCGAGTGGTGGACAGCATGGTTGGTGAGCCACCTGGGCTGAACGGGTTGTCTGGTGCATCGTGGGTGAGCCACGTGTGCTCGACTATTTGTCGTATGCGTCGCTGCTTGATGAACCCAAATCAGATTTCCGTTTTCCACCCATCCCGTTTTTTTCTGGTTCCCGTCCCATACACAATTACTTTGGTCCACTGTTGTCCCCTTTCCACGCATGCTACACGGCACCTGCTGCACCTGCTGCACTGCCTGTTCTGCTTGTTTCTGCTGCAGATAACGCCGTCAAGTTCACGAGCAGTGGAGGCGTGTGTGTGCGGCTGCAGTGCCTTCCCCCCGACACCCACATCCCCACCCACCTGCTCTCCCTCGGCTGCCTCCTTGCTGAAGCCACCCCCGGCTCCTTCCCTTCTGCTAAGGCTGATGCTGCTGATGCTGCCAATAATAGTGGTGCCACTTCTGCTGCTGCCACCATTGCTGCGGCTACCACTGCTGCTGCTGCCACTGCTGTCCCCACGGCTGCTGCTGCTGCTGCTGCTGTTGCTTCGCTTGGCAGTGAGGTGGGGCGAGCAGAGAGGGCGTGGAGAGTGCAGGTGGAGCGGCAGGGGGTGGTGCAGCATGGGTTGGTGCAGCAGGCGGCGGAGCAGCAGGGGGGGGTGAGGGGCGTGGTGGGAGATTGGGCCCCACAGCTGGCCTCGTTCCGCACACGCTTCCTCCTGTGCCCCTCACACCTGCCACTGGGGGCCATGGGGCAAGGGGCGGGCAACGAGAGGTGCGAGTGTGATGAGGAGGTAAGGGAGGGGGAGGCGGAGGGGGAGTGGGAAAGGTGGGCGCAGAAAATGGGCGCAGAGAATGGGCGCAGGGAAGGTGAGGAGAATGAGGAACGTGGGAGAGGTGAATGGCAGGGTGCAGCAGTGCAGTCAGTGGGTGGTAGGGATGTGACAGCAGGTGCATGCGTGCAGCAAGGGCGGGAGGAGGGTGGCGAAGGGGGGAAGGCAGGAGAAAGCGGCGTTGCGTGGAGACGAGGAGAGAGGAGAGGAGAGGAGGCTTTGCTGAGGCATGGCGAAGAGGAGGAAGGGGGTGATCTTGGTGGTAGAGCCGGGCGAGGTGGTGGTGTGCGCGAGGGGGGTGGCACTAGCGCGTATGAGATAGACAGGATAGCAAGAGCAGCAGCATTAGGAGTGGGTGGTGGTGTTGGTTGGTGGAGCGAATTAGTGGAGAGGTGGTGGCGCGGGCGGGGCAGAGAGGAGGGTGCGGTGGTGGATGAGGGAGGTGGCAGGCGGTGTGTGGTGCTGCTGACGTGTGAGGACACGGGGTGTGGCATCGCAGAGGAGGAGCAGCACGACGTGTTTCAGACGTTCATGCAGGTGAGCTCTTAGTATGTATGTTGGGAACAAAGTCGTTCATGCAGGTGAGCCCTGCCCCTCATGACGTGCCCCTCATGTCATGCACGTGGTGTCATGCATGTGGTGTTGTGTGATTAATCATTCAAGCAGGTGGGTGGTTGCTTGGTCCTCATCATCAGAGGTACTCAGAGAAAGTTGAATCCTTTGGGAGAAATGCTAGAAATCATTGGGAAACATCGTAGCAAGGTCAGCAAAGCCAACCAGACTTGGTTCTTCTGTGCTGTTCTCAAGACTATCAATAGAGTCAAGCCAACCATGAGTCAGCTTGCCTTCTCACTTACACCCTCTTGCAAACAATGAGGGTGGTAGAGTCCCTCATGACCACCTGCACTTTTTGTCTCACTCCCTGTCTGCATAACAATGAAAGGGTGACAAGGGAAATGCTGCCAACAGTGCACCATGACTACGGAACAGTGACTTTCGACAGCTGTCACGCAATGCTTCTCCAATCCTGGGTGTTTTTACTAAACTTGATGACCACCTGCACAACGCGGAAAAGAACTGCCACACCAATTTTCATATCCATCAGAGCTTGGTAGATGAGTCAGCAGCCAATGATGAACTCGGGTGTAACCGAAGATGAGTAATTCACACTTCCGGAATGCCAGAAGTCTTGTAGGTTAAAACGTTGTCATGTGCAGGACACTGCGTTTATAATTCTCTCAAGATCTACATAGTAGATAGGAACTTTTATCCAATATTATTAGGATGGCAGAAGCTTTAGGTATTGACATTTACTTCATAGGACTCAAAGAAGCCGAGCGGGGCTGTAGGCTGAATGGAAGTGCGATGATCGTGCCACTATAATGTGTTGGCAGAACACGTAACTCGTGTATCAAATACAAGCTATTGATTAGGAATGTACCACCCCACAGTTGCGTCTTCACTGATGCATCATATGATGTTGCTTTTTAACACACTTTTCCCCAACAGGCACACCAGAAGAGACACGCGCATGGCGGCGGTGGCATGAGCCTTCACTTGTCTCGCCAGCTGGTGAGCCTTGTGTCGCAGCAGAAAAGGTGTGTTTCCATGTATCTTGACTTCTTCCCCTTGGCTGCTGTTATCTAATTGCTAGCCCTTAGCTCTTCCGACTCCCTCTGCATATTACTCTTCTTCACGGCGCATCTCATTGCGTCCCACATTGTCTGCTTCTGTCAACTTGTCTCAGGTGTCCCTTTTGGGCGGCAGCATGGGTCTGCTCAGCACAGAGGGTGTCGGCACCACTCTGCATGTCGCTTTGCCATTCGATGTTCCGGCTCCTCCTGCTTCTGCCGCTGCTGCTGCTGCTCATTCCCCTGCTGCCAATTCCATTCCCAGCGCTGGTTATGGTTCTGCCTGAAGAGCCGTTGCCAGTCCCAGCCCCTTAACGAGAGTGGGCAACAGAAGCTTGAGTGCAAGCGAGGGAGGGAAGGGATGGGGAGAGGCGGAAGGCGCAGGCGCAGTGGAGGGGCCGGGTGAGAAGGTGGTGAGCGCCAAGGAGGCTCTCAAGGAGATGCTTCAGGGCATGGCGATCCTGGTGAGATGCATTGAAAGGCGACCCGGTGAGATGTGATCAAGGACAGTGTCTTTATGGTGCGGGGAATGGCAGTTTTGGTGGGGTGGTTTCGAAAGAGGATGTGATGTGAAGGATGTGTCAGGATGTGCGCATTGTTATCCCGGAATGTCAGGGAAGAGAAAAAAACCTGGTCATCCCGGAAAAATATATGCAAGCCTAGGCGTAGTGGACGACAACGCAATAGACCCTGTCTTCTCTCTCAAACTCTCCCTCGTCCTCTATTCTTCAGGCAACAGTGTGATAAGCACATGTCATCTCTGTCCGCCCGTCCGTTCCCATCCCCTCTGCATTCCGCTCGCATGCCCCTGGTCATGCGTCCCTCCTGCCTTGCTTCCCAATCTCTCCCTCTCAAACTCTCTTTCTCCATCCACCAGGTGGTGGACTGCAGCGCCATCAGCTGTCCCTCCATTCTCATCCTGTCTTCTCTCCACCCTGCGTGCCCCTCGCCCTGCACTGGTCAGGTGGTGGACGACAACGCCATCAACCATCCCTCTGTTCTCACCCCTCTCAACCCCCATGCACCCCACCCCATGCACCAGGTGGTGGACGACAATCCGATCAACCGGCGGGTGGCGGCGAGCACGCTGGCGCGGTACGGGGCGGAGGTGGCGCTGGCAGAGTCGGGCGAGGCGGCACTGCGCCTGCTGCAGGCGCGCCACTCCTTCCGCCTCGTGCTCATGGACCTCCACATGCCCACCCTCGACGGTTTCCAGACCACCGCCCGCCTGCGCGCCCTCGAGGCCGCCGCCTACGCGGCCCGGGGGGCCTGCAGGGGGGGCAGTGGGGTTGGCAGCAGCGGCGGCACATTCATGTGGTTGCCATGTCAGCAGATGTGGACAGCACTATTCCTGCCCGTGCCACAGAGGCTGGCATGGATGGTGCCGTGCAGAAGCCACTCAATGAGAGAGTGCTCCTGCAGGTGCTCTCAACATTAAGTGGTTAGTAACTCTACCTACACAATAATAGTACCGATATTAGCATCACTTCCCCATTTTTTGATATATAATATTAGTATTTTTTTTATTACGATTTACATAGAGGGCACGGGCAGGCATCTGGATAGGATTTGAGTCACTCTTATCCATAAGGCCAAAATCCTAGCTTCAGTCATTTAATTAGGGTAAAAATGAGAAACACTCATAGAAATTAGGGTGGAGGACATGGTGTGCAGGAGGAGGAAGCGGAGGACCAGAGACGGGAGGAGAGGGGGAGGAGGGAGAGGGGAGACCGAGGGTCCGAAGACCAGAGACAGGAGGAGGAGGCGGCGGCTGCTGCTGCTGCTGCTGCTGCTGCTGCTGCTGCTGCTGCTGCTGCTGCTGCTGCTGCTGCTGCTGCTGCTGCTGCTGCTGCTGCTGCTGCTGCTGCTGCTGCTGCTGCTGCTGCTGCTGCTGCTGCTGCTGCTGCTGCTGCTGCTGCTGCTGCTGCTGCTGCTGCTGCTGCTGCTGCTGCTGCTGCTGCTGCTGCTGCTGCTGCTGCTGCTGCTGCTGCTGCTGCTGCTGCTGCTGCTGCTGCTGCTGCTGCTGCTGCTGCTGCTGCTGCTGCTGCTGCTGCTGCTGCTGCTGCTGCTGCTGCTGCTGCTGCTGCTGCTGCTGCTGCTGCTGCTGCTGCTGCTGCTGCTGCTGCTGCTGCTGCTGCTGCTGCTGCTGCTGCTGCTGCTGCTGCTGCTGCTGCTGCTGCTGCTGCTGCTGCTGCTGCTGCTGCTGCTGCTGCTGCTGCTGCTGCTGCTGCTGCTGCTGCTGCTGCTGCTGCTGCTGCTGCTGCTGCTGCTGCTGCTGCTGCTGCTGCTGCTGCTGCTGCTGCTGCTGCTGCTGCTGCTGCTGCTGCTGCTGCTGCTGCTGCTGCTGCTGCTGCTGCTGCTGCTGCTGCTGCTGCTGCTGCTGCTGCTGCTGCTGCTGCTGCTGCTGCTGCTGCTGCTGCTGCTGCTGCTGCTGCTGCTGCTGCTGCTGCTGCTGCTGCTGCTGCTGCTGCTGCTGCTGCTGCTGCTGCTGCTGCTGCTGCTGCTGCTGCTGCTGCTGCTGCTGCTGCTGCTGCTGCTGCTGCTGCTGCTGCTGCTGCTGCTGCTGCTGCTGCTGCTGCTGCTGCTGCTGCTGCTGCTGCTGCTGCTGCTGCTGCTGCTGCTGCTGCTGCTGCTGCTGCTGCTGCTGCTGCTGCTGCTGCTGCTGCTGCTGCTGCTGCTGCTGCTGCTGCTGCTGCTGCTGCTGCTGCTGCTGCTGCTGCTGCTGCTGCTGCTGCTGCTGCTGCTGCTGCTGCTGCTGCTGCTGCTGCTGCTGCTGCTGCTGCTGCTGCTGCTGCTGCTGCTGCTGCTGCTGCTGCTGCTGCTGCTGCTGCTGCTGCTGCTGCTGCTGCTGCTGCTGCTGCTGCTGCTGCTGCTGCTGCTGCTGCTGCTGCTGCTGCTGCTGCTGCTGCTGCTGCTGCTGCTGCTGCTGCTGCTGCTGCTGCTGCTGCTGCTGCTGCTGCTGCTGCTGCTGCTGCTGCTGCTGCTGCTGCTGCTGCTGCTGCTGCTGCTGCTGCTGCTGCTGCTGCTGCTGCTGCTGCTGCTGCTGCTGCTGCTGCTGCTGCTGCTGCTGCTGCTGCTGCTGCTGCTGCTGCTGCTGCTGCTGCTGCTGCTGCTGCTGCTGCTGCTGCTGCTGCTGCTGCTGCTGCTGCTGCTGCTGCTGCTGCTGCTGCTGCTGCTGCTGCTGCTGCTGCTGCTGCTGCTGCTGCTGCTGCTGCTGCTGCTGCTGCTGCTGCTGCTGCTGCTGCTGCTGCTGCTGCTGCTGCTGCTGCTGCTGCTGCTGCTGCTGCTGCTGCTGCTGCTGCTGCTGCTGCTGCTGCTGCTGCTGCTGCTGCTGCTGCTGCTGCTGCTGCTGCTGCTGCTGCTGCTGCTGCTGCTGCTGCTGCTGCTGCTGCTGCTGCTGCTGCTGCTGCTGCTGCTGCTGCTGCTGCTGCTGCTGCTGCTGCTGCTGCTGCTGCTGCTGCTGCTGCTGCTGCTGCTGCTGCTGCTGCTGCTGCTGCTGCTGCTGCTGCTGCTGCTGCTGCTGCTGCTGCTGCTGCTGCTGCTGCTGCTGCTGCTGCTGCTGCTGCTGCTGCTGCTGCTGCTGCTGCTGCTGCTGCTGCTGCTGCTGCTGCTGCTGCTGCTGCTGCTGCTGCTGCTGCTGCTGCTGCTGCTGCTGCTGCTGCTGCTGCTGCTGCTGCTGCTGCTGCTGCTGCTGCTGCTGCTGCTGCTGCTGCTGCTGCTGCTGCTGCTGCTGCTGCTGCTGCTGCTGCTGCTGCTGCTGCTGCTGCTGCTGCTGCTGCTGCTGCTGCTGCTGCTGCTGCTGCTGCTGCTGCTGCTGCTGCTGCTGCTGCTGCTGCTGCTGCTGCTGCTGCTGCTGCTGCTGCTGCTGCTGCTGCTGCTGCTGCTGCTGCTGCTGCTGCTGCTGCTGCTGCTGCTGCTGCTGCTGCTGCTGCTGCTGCTGCTGCTGCTGCTGCTGCTGCTGCTGCTGCTGCTGCTGCTGCTGCTGCTGCTGCTGCTGCTGCTGCTGCTGCTGCTGCTGCTGCTGCTGCTGCTGCTGCTGCTGCTGCTGCTGCTGCTGCTGCTGCTGCTGCTGCTGCTGCTGCTGCTGCTGCTGCTGCTGCTGCTGCTGCTGCTGCTGCTGCTGCTGCTGCTGCTGCTGCTGCTGCTGCTGCTGCGCTGCTGCTGCTGCTGCTGCTGCTGCAGCCGCTGTAGCTCCAGCTGCTGCCGCTCCAACTCTCTCTCCTCTCGCTCCAACTCCAGCTGCTCCTCACGGGCACGGCGAACACGAGCCTGGTGCCGGGTCGGGTAGGGGTGGGGGGGAGGAGTAGTGTCCGGAGCAGTGGTAGCCCCAGGACCGCTCTCCAAAGCACCAGTCGCACCACCCTCAGAGCCAGAACCACCAGAAGTAACAAGGCCCGTCCCAGGCTCTCCAGGTCCAGCAGAGGGTGCACCCCCAGTCGTAGCACCCCCAGGGACAGCTCGACTAACACCAGCTCCCCGAAGACTAGAGTCTCCTGCAGTCACGGGCTCAGCTCCAACTCCAGCACCCCCAGAACCAGGACCTCGCACAGGTACGCTCTCCGCTCCAACTCCAACACCTCTAGAGCTAGCACCTCCAGGGTCCTCGCCACGAAAACCAGCTCCCGCAGGGTCTGCTATAGGCTTGGAGGAGGACTGTGGGGAAGGGGATGGCACCTGAGGGGCTACCGAGGGGGGAGGGGTAGCGTGGGACACACCTGACGGGGCTGGACCAGGGGGGGGCGGGGGGGGGGGGGCCTGTGTTGGAGGGGCAGGGGGGGAGGAAGGGGGGGGAGTCAGGAAGAGAGGTACCGAAAGACCTCGACAGGGGTACCGGGTGTAGTAGGGGACTAACTCGACAAAATGAATGTCGCGGGAGTCAAAGAATCGGCGAAGGGGAGGGTGGTAAGAGGTGAAGTAAGAGGAGTCAACGGGGAAACCCAGGAAGACACAGGGAAGGGCGCGAGTAGAGAGCTTATCCGCGGAGGTGTCGCGATCAAGCGCCAAGCAGCCCCAGACACGAAAACGCGACGCAGCACCAGGGGACCCGGTCCAAAGACTGGTCGGTGAAGCCTCTGGCCGAGAGACACGTGGCCAGAGGTTCAGCTGGTGAGCGGCGTACCGAACCGCGTAGGGCCACAGAAAATGGGGCGCACGGGCGTGGATCATGGAGGTGCGTGCAATCTCCATGACCAAGCCTATGCGGCGCTCAGCAACCCCATTCTGCTGTGGGGACTCTGGAAGCGTCCAGGACTGACGGATGCCCTGCTCGCGACAGAATCCAGCGAGAATGCCGGAGCGAAACTCACCCCCACGGTCGGAGTGAAGACAGCGGATACGACGAACACAAGTGTCCGCAGTGGTAAGCAACCGCCGGATCAGCGTAGAAGTCACCTCAGACTTCTTCGCTAGGGGGAACACTGTGGTGTAGCGAGAGTAGTCGTCAACGACCACCAGAAAGAAACTCTCTCGCTCAGGGCCAGGGCGAGAGGCGGGGCCCCAGACGTCCAAGTGGAGAGTCTCAAAGGGCTCGGTGGCCGGACGAAGGGAGGAGGAGTGAGGGGTGGCGCGCAACCGACCCTCGACGCAGGGACTGCAAGGTGGGGCAAGTGAAGGCGGCAGCGACGGCAAGACTCGCGGAAGGCCTAAGACAAGACGCTGACTAGACATAGCGCGCAGGCGAGGAATGGACGGGTGCCCCATCCGGTGGTGCCATAGAACGGTGGGGTGGGCAAGTGACCGGCAGGAGCAAGACTCAGCAACTGGACCAGACACTGGAACCTGACCAGACACAGCTACCTGGGGAGACGCGGCAACCTGGTGAGACGCGAGAACCTGACGAGGAGCACTGACAGGGGCCGGGAACAGTAGCAGCAGCAGCAGCTGCTGCTGCTGCTGCTGCTGCCCTTGGGGGCCAGTGTGAAGTGTGTAGAGACCAGAGCCCGGCTCAATCCACACACCTACGTCGACACAAACCGCAATCTCGTCAGAAGGCTCAATCCACACACCTACGTGCTGACTCACGAGCAGCCTCACGCCCACCAAGTTCCTCGAGAACGAGGGGACGTGGAAGCCGGTCAGAGAACCGGAGGGAACAGCCGTGCACGGAAGCGTAGTAGTGTAGCGAGCAGTGACTGGTCCCAAAGTGGGATCAGCCAGTGCTACAGAGACCGGCATAGGAAGCGGGGTAAGTGCCGTGCGGTCGCGGAAGAAACAGTGCGAAGCTCCGGAGTCCAGAGTGAAAGACAGCGAAGCGTCCTCCGGATTAGCTCCTGAACTAGTGTCTACACATGTACCTACACTAGCAACAGGCACCTCAGCAAGACTAGCACCTAAGCTAACAACACTCGAGTAAACAGAGTCAGAAGCACTAGAATCAACAACAGCATACATAGCATGAGGAGTTCCTAAGAGATCAAGCAACTGAGAAGCCGACATGCCCCACAGAGCGGGGCCGTACGTCTGAACAAGGGGAAGCCAGTCAGGGGCAGGGCCGTCAACGCCGTAGGCCAACCGAACCGTGTCACTCAGCTGAGCAAAACACTGACCCGGTGGGTGGCTGCGGCCACAAGGCTGGCCTCGGCGAGCACCTGTCAGAACGTGATAGGTGCAGGGAGGGTGGACGGCACCACGCGACAGCTGACGCGGTCCTGACCCCTGCCCCGGAACCTGCTGTTGCCTCTGCTGCTGCTTGGCTGCTGCGAGGGGAGGGGCTGCTGCTGCTGCTGCTGCTGCTGCTGCTGCCGCTGGTCAGGTACCAAGCCGCCAATCCTGCACCTGCAGCTGGCGGACTAGTTGGTGTCTGACGAACCCGGGCGTCACCTCCACCAGCTGCAGCAGGGGAGCCACCAGCCGCTGCACGAGGCGCTCCTCCACCCTCTGTACTCCCACCACCGCCGCTCGCCACGCCACCTCCGCCGCCTCCGCCCGCACCCTGACCGCCCCTCCTGCCACTCCTACCCCTAGACCGCGAAGAAGTCGTAACAGCAGCTGCGGTCACGTCAGTAGCGGCAGTGGCAAGGGAGGCAGTAAAGGTGGGCAGCTGAGGGACAGTGCACCCGTGAAACAGTGGAGGGGGCACAACACCAGAGGCGGAGGCAACCGAGCGGAGGTTGCTCTCGACGTCCTTGAGAGCAGACTCAAGGACGTCGATAGTGAGCTCGCTAGGGTGCTTCAGAAGAAGCGCGTCACGAACCGAGGCAAGGCGGAGTGCAAGCTGTTCGACAGTGCAGGTGGCGCGGAAACTGGAATCGAGCGAGTGCAGGTGAGCGATCAAGTCAGCAGAGCGCTCAAACGAGGCGAGGGTGCAGCGTCACGCGACGTCCATGCTGTGAGGTCAGCGCGCTGGCGGGCGTAACGGTCTCTGTTAGCAGAGCAAGCGTCAGCGGCTAAGGGTGCAGGATCGACGGGCTTAGGAACGTCCTCGGAAGCGTGCGCCCACAGAGACACATCCGCCTGAACCTGACTCTCTAAAAGGCGACGCGCGCATGCTGGAGCCAGACGGAGAACTCAAGCGGCCTACCCTCGGCGTCAAAGCGCAGGACCCTAGGGGTCGCCATAGCGGAAGCGTAAACTGGACAAGCAGGGCGCAGCGGACGCGACGGGCAATGCGCAAGGAACGACGGGCGCGAACAGGTATGGCGCGAACGTGCGACGAACGCAGAGGAGCGAGGACAGGAGGCATGCGCGGACAGGGCTGCGCGACAGTTGCGGTTAGCGCGACACGGGCGCGGACGGGACAGACGCGGCGAGCGCGCAGCGGGCGCAGCAGGCACGGACGACAGGCGTTCGGCAGGCGCACGGCAGGTGCGCGGCAGGCGCGGACGGGACGGGACGGGAAAACGACGCGACGGGCAGGGCGCAGACGCAAGCACGTTGCCAGCAGATTTGGGAGGGGGGGGGGGGGAGGGGGGAGGGCAAGCGCGGCGTGACGGGCAAACGCGGCGGGCGCGGGCCGGGCAAACGCGGCGGGCGCGACGTGACGGGGATGGATGGGACAGGCAAACGCGACGGAACGGGACGCTACGAGACGGGATGGGTGGGCGCGATAGGCGCTACAGGCGTGGTCGGCTAGCGCGGAACGAACGGGATCCGAGAGTATCCTAACCTAGGTGATACCATGTCAAGAATGAAAGTGTTGGTTCATTGATGTTGGTTGGGGTACATGTAGCAAACCCCTAACATTTGTACCCCCTAAGTCACCCCTCACTTAGGCTATGGGGGTGTGTCAAATGTTGTAGCCTGTAGTGAGGCTTGTCTTAGGGGGTACAAATGTTAGGGTTTGCTACATGTACCCCAACCAACATCAATGAACCAATTTTTGACACGATTTATGTGTAGTATGCGAGCTCGATAGCTATCGCATGCTCTCGCTGCCAAAAGCTTATACTGCTTTCGCAAATGATCTTCATGAACCCTGTAAGGACATGTCTCATGAGCGGTCCGCCGGATTTAGTCTGCGACCAACATCTATACGTCTGGTCCGGGATTCTGGTCCAACGGACTTCCTTGCCGGACCAGCCGTGGACCAGACATGGATTGGTTTGCGTGATGCGTTGTGTCCTGGACTGTACAATATTTGCGTGTTGCAACAGTAGCAACGAACACAAGACACGTTGAAATCAAGTTACCTTTTTCGTTGTCTGTCTATAATTTTCCATACCATCATGGGTGAAACATCGCGAAAAAGGTAAAATTAGCAATAAAATGTTTGACCTACTGTTTACGCACAAGGCACGGACTGGTCTGGAGGCGAAATCAATGGCACCGTTATACTGCCATTCAAACGGTATAACGAGGATACAAGCCCTGCATCCGGGTCTCGGCCCGCCGTTGGTCCACGCGCTGGTTCTTGAACTGGTCTGCTGTGTTCGAGGCGGGCCCACGTGGGCTAAGACATTTGAGACACCCTCTAAGAACTTGCTCGGTACCGTCAGTATAACTACAAGGAATTGTTCTGTTGCACTACGAAATATCAGTGTTAAAAAAAACATATTATCAAATTTTGTCATAAGGGTCAAAGGAAAAAAACACTTTGAAATATTAGGGTGTATAAGCGAACCCGGCCTTATAGTAAATGTCGTAAGGGTAAATTACCCTGTTATCATGGGGCTGGGCACGGGGTATACCGTACCAGGGGGAAACAATCGAACAATGTATATATATTTATGATATAACATATTGCGTTACAAGTAGCAAGGTTCTCTAGATAAGGGTGCATGTGCGCTTATAACAATTGAGGTCGTTGTTGAAAAATATATTATATGTTCTGAATGTAATATCACTACGATATTAACTTGTGACCCTACCACAGCACAGTGTGCGCTCTCCAGCTCATAGAATCCCGAAAACAATCCCCTCTTTCTTCCCCCATCCCTCTTCCTTTTGTTTATGCCTTAGGGCAGAATGTCATGGTTATCCTGGAAACATGCCAAAAATAACATAGTAAAATATTCGGTTAGCCTTTTTTGTCGCTTTTCAAATGGGTTGAACTCCCTGAACAAAGAGGCCGTTTTCGATGCCGCCAGGCGGTTATGGCTCTTGCTCGGCAGGCATGCTTGAGTGTTACCTCCGGAAAAGATCCTCGAGCAGAGGAAGAGAAGGCTGAACATTATGGGGTCTCCTAGGGAAATCAAGCACTCCAATTACCCTCGAACAGATTGATTTCCAGGAAGCGCAGCTGATGCATGGCCGAGAATGCGCGCACTTGACTACCACATGCTATATGGGACAGCACAATTCACGTTTCGCGGCCCCATTCCTCTTTTGGCGCACTAGCAGGCACATTTGGAAGTTGTCATATGGTGCTGTGGCAGTTTCCTTAGGAATGTTGCAAAAACCACCAATGGGGGGAAGTTAGAGCCCGCCGTCATATACATTTATAAATATATATTCGTTTTTTCACCTGAGGTCGATAGCGACAAAAGTATGTGCGTGGCGTCTAAACCCTGCACGTTATCTTTTTTGGAAGATCCTCGCTACGAAGGATCCGGTATCAGTCCAAGCTTGGCCGTCAGTGAAGGCAAAGAAATATCATAACCACACTTATTTACAAAGGGTAGAATCCTTTTACACTGTTTGGAGAAGGGCAACTAAAAATAAACGGCCGTTAGAAAGGGCAGAAAGGGCATTTTACCTTGATAATTTGGGCCCTGAACACAAGGTAAACTTTAACGACATCCGGAAATTTCAAAGCAGCTAACGGCACCATCCTAAAAACAGTGTCGATGATGGAAGTCGAGGTTGGCTTGAGTCCGGGCGTGCTAAGGTTGAGCCCAACAGATACCCGCGACTGCCCGACCTACCTCTTCTTCCTCTTCACCTGCAGGTACATTTTGGCGTGGAGGAGAAAGGAGGCCTCAAATTTCCGAAGAACTTGTTTTGTCCAATTGTGTTTGAAAGGTGGATCGCACCTCTCCACCCAAATCTTGTGAAGAATAATGGTCGTGGCAAGTGCCTCAGAGAAACCAGAAGTTGACCCTTTCTTTTGGAAGTTGAGGCCTCTAGCAACCCCACCCTCCTGCCCGGATTCATCATACGAGGAACCTTCAATGGGCCCCACACCGCCACCAGAAGGCTATGGCACTGAAGAGGCAATGGCTGAGAGATTCCACACCACCACTATGCGGGTAAACCGCATCATTTCCGACGAAGGAAATCTCTCCATAACTTGGGTATTCCAGATGTGCACCCTAAGCAGCACTTTCCTTGTTTGACTTGGGAGGGTTGCGGAGTCCCGTATCCTTAGCCCTACGCCAGTCAATCTTCCTCCCCCACTTATTCTCCCTCTTGATGCGCCGAACGAAGAGTTCAGATGCTTGAACGAAACCTCTGGCTGACCCCTTTCCTCCAAGACACGACCCTTTGATCGCCATCCGTTGAAATTTTTGCAGGGAGAACGACAGAGAGTGGCCCTCAACTTTTCTTACTTCCCCCTCAACAAGAGTAATTGCTTGGCACGCTAAATGGCCTCCCTCCACGCTCTTAGACTTTCACCGGCCGAGCTGCACGGTGGGTTTCAGAAAAAATGAAGACGCTAGAACCTCCGCGACCAAGATTGGTGACAATAGCAGCTGATGCTAGCTGGGGTACATGCAAAAATTTTAACTGCGGCTTTGACACTGCTCGCGCTGCCAAGCTCCTCTGAATACGTGCCGCCATTGTCAATGTAAATACCAGATATCTAATGTTGACGTTCAGCTTGCTCAAGGCTATGGGCTTCTATCTTGCTTTCGGAACTTTCACGTGAAGCTCGACTCGCTCGTTGTCGGTAGCTTCATTAAGCTGTGAGAGAGAGATTTACGCTGGTGCTACTGTTACTTAGGAGTGTTACTTAGGAGCTCCTCTGTCCAACTTTCTTGCTCACTGACCTAGGTTAATCGCCACTTTGATAAAAGGCCATGATCCTCCTATGTCAGGAGCCTAGACTGGAAGGAAAAGTAAAGTACATCCATCTGCGGTACTTCCGGTTGCATTAGTTGCAGCAGCGCGGTCAGGCACGCGTGGTACCCATGGTCTCAGAGGCCAGCACCGCTAATATTTTTACCAAGGCACTCTAGCATAGTGATAAAAATCCGTCCCGCATATAGCTTGGCCTTGTTCCAGCTATCCCTCACTCTGTGGTTTCATAATCTTTGAATTTTCTATTATATGTGATCCTGCCCAGATATGAATCCACTGACTGGCCTTGTGGCCATTTGACCAACTGGTTGGAGTATTAGTGCCACCTTGAGTTGTATCACTTGCTTTGTTGCTTCTTATTGACTGCCCTTGTGGCCATTTGCCTCTGTGGTTTTACTCGTTGAGCGATCCTGGGTTCGTTAAGGTGGCTGAGACGAAACACTCGACTGGGTGCCCCATAATTGAGTCATAGCAAGAAGTTGGTGGCTTTGCACAAGGACTCACCAACTAAATGAGCACTGGCGACTTGAACAATTGTTATGCTAATATGCTATATTGTTTACGTGTCACTTGTCTTCGATCTTACCCAAATAGGAGGAGATGGACCAACTTGATGCAGCTATGGCATACAATGGTGGCCCTCCCTCTGTCGAGTGAGAGAGGGGGTTCTCGCGGGTGAACATCATCAAGTCATGGGTGAGAGGATCTCAATACAACACGCTCTTGAGGAATCTAATGCAAAATTTTCGACTGGACCCAAGATTGGCAGCCAATCTGCCTAAATAAGAGTTGCCAGCAAGAGTGCAATCTTCGCGCACAAGAGTGCAAGTGTCAAAATCTCTGCCACTACACCACTGGGATAGAGTGGCTTGCTAAGTAGTAGGTCAGTGCGCCCATAACCCTCCAGGCTAGCGAGCCTGTAACCCTTCCCTAGGATCAATCGGGCATCCCAAGTACAGGTCTTCTGACACCCGCCCTCAAAGAGATGCCCTAAGATACAGCACAGCGGCAGCGCCAATATGTGCGCACATGGGGATTTGAACCGAGACCTCCGATCTGATACCATGTCAGAACTTTAGCCATTAGAACACTTGGATATGGCTTATTAAGTAGCGGGTTAGTGCGCCCATAATCCCCTAGGACAGTGAGCATGTAACCCTTTTCAATAATTATTCGGGCACCCCCAGTGTAGGTCTTCTGACAGCAAGCGGAAAGGAAAAAGAACAGAAGGTCAGAGACTGCGTGAGTGGCCATGTGAACCTTGGGAAGGGGATTCTTAGGAAGAGCCTTGGGGAGAGGGGATTGACCAGGAGAAGGAAGAAGAGTCGCAAGAAAAAAATGACAACCCGTTTCTGTGAGACGAAAAGGAGGCCGAAGAGATCTACCGCTTGGGAAAAGCTGTATTCCATACATAAATGAAGAAACTTATGCCTGTGTGTACATTTAGATTTAAAGCAAGGGTGCACTTTGGGGGGGGTGGAGGCAAAGGTTTATCACTTGCCTCCACGTGGTTACCCAGTGTTGGCGGAGTTGCGCGGGGTACTCTCGCTCCCATCAGTAGCGATGTTGGACATGGGAGTTGGGAACTTGGGTCCAGTGCCAGTCAGTTTGTGAACCAAAACACCAGCAACTCTCGTTCCATGACACACATCCTCCAAGCACTAGAGTAGTTAGCAACCATAGCGTTAGTCGCTGAACCGCTACTAACATCCATAGCGAACATCGCATAATTTCGCGGCTGAGGGCGCGGTGGCGTAAAGCATGTGCCCCGCGACCTTGTGCTTGCAGGATTCGTGCATGGGGGCGCGGTCTCCTGTTGCTTACGGGAGTGATTATCTCGATGATATTCGTAGCTTGTGGTGCCTTCACTTTCTAGATGGAAGTGTGCTTTGTGGGAGTGATCATCTCGCGTTGTTGGTTATCGCTTGGTTGGTTGCGCCATAGATTTGGTTTCCGCCCTTCCGTCTGGTTTTCCCCATCCCAACCCCTGTACGAAATTGGCCGGTGTCGCCTGCCTTCTTTCAATTCCTCGCGCCAGCTTTACGTACCCTAAACAGTTCGTCCCCGAATCAGCAAGCTCCAAAGGGTGTGCACTGACAATACACCAAAATACCACCCCCAGGAATGTGCACCGTCGCTTTAAATAAAATGCATTGAGGCAAACTCTATTGAAAAAACCCTCATTAAACAAATACAAATTTATTCTGGCTATAGGACCGGGGGCTTTCTACAAATGCAAGAAAAATAGCTTAGGGTGAACATATAATTGGCATACCGCTTTTTATGCACTGTTCTTGTACCGAGGAGAGGGGGAGGGGAGTCTTTTATTGTGCACTTTCAAATCCCCCGCTTGAGGCATCACAAATGCGATGTTTGGAGTGACACACGTCATTCAAGGAGGCACGACGGTGGTTTATCGCTCAAATTTGGCGAACCGCACGTCCTCTTAACTGAACGGTCCCCCAGCCTGGCCACGTCACTTTGCACATGGGGCCAGGTTAATCCACTCTGGATTTGAGGGTTTGACAGGAAACTGGACGTGATGCGCAAGGGGAGTCACGTCGAGCAGCCTGCCAAGCAGATGGTTTTTTATTTTGTGGATTGTGATGGCGTGCTTCAGTCGTCACAAAGATCTAGCAGCACTACAAGAAACCATTCAAAGGGACGCTACAAGCATGCTTAGGGTTGTCCCGTAGAGGAGCACCATGGCGGCCTTTGAAAGCCCATGGCATACCCGTCATGGCAGTCCGTCCAAACAGCTAGCCATAGTGCTGATTAGGTGCCCGTCACCGCCAGCACCGCCTGCGCCTCCTGCACCTCCTGCGCCTCCTGCACCTCCTGCGCCTCCTACGCCCCCTGTGCATCCTCTGCCTTACCACCATACTACACCTTTGTTCGAACCCCCGAACGAAGGATTTCCCGACCCCGAGGACGAAAATGACGACACCGCAGAGAACGACGACAAGATGGAGCAAGAAGTGGGGGATTTCCCTGTTCCTTCGTTCCTCGTTGATCTCGTCCACGAAGATAAGGGCCCCATGCGCTGTGTTGACAGTGTGCCGTCCAGTCCTCTCGCGCGCAAGGCATCCCACAGTCGCACGGCGCGAACGATGGGAGAGAAGTTGGAATGGTTCGTCCGCATGGCGCAGGAGAAATTCTTCATACGACACACCGCTCGTCTAGCCGAGGTGCAGCCTGTCAGCGTCCGCCAATGGATGACGGTGGCGGCGCGCATATCCGAGCAGGCGCCCCCTCAGTATAAGAAACACCCCAGCTTCCGCGGCTGTGGGTTAGCCGTCCCCATCCACCTCATCAGGCAGTGGAGTCAGTCGTACATGAAGACTCACCGCCCGGAGGTGAGGTGGATGGCGTCCCCGCTGTGGACGTTCTGCTTCCGCGCACGCTACGGCCCGACCATCCGTGTGAAGACCAAGATGGGTCAGCTTCTTGAGAAAGGTAAGACTAGTTAATGTTCGCGCCAGCAATTTCTGCCTTGCTTCATGCGCGTGATCTTATATGATGTTGCGCCACCCATAACTCTAACTAGTATGGTGCCTTTGCTCGTTACAGAATGCAAGCCAAAGTGCGAGCCGTTTCGGGCCTTCGTGGGGAAGAACCTCGTCAAATGGGGCATTGGCCCATGGAACATTGCCAACGCCGATGCACGTAGCGCGGGCAACGAGAAGGTGAGGGTGACAGTGATGCTCGGCATCACTGCGGACGGCCGCAAGCTCCCTACGATGGTCATTTTCAAGAGGAAGACCATTCCGAAGATCTGGGTCCCGGCAGGTGAGTAGTGAGCCATGTCAAGTCCGTGTGCACACCTGTCGCGATGCTAATCGAGTGTGTCTCTTACGGTGCTCGTGGCAGGAGTGATTATCAGGGCACAGGAGTGTGGATGGATGGATTTCAAGCTCGTCGAAGAGTGGGTGAACCAAATCTTCCTCCCTTCCATCAAGCCTCCCGCTGGCATCCATCGGTCAAAGACACTACTAGTCTTGGACTCGTACCGAGGGCATCTCATGGATAACGTACTCGCGAACCTGAGGTGGGAACGGGTCATTCTGGCCATCATCCCCGGGGGTGCACCCCTCTGCTGCAGCCGCTGGATTTGAACGTGAACCGCTCGTTCAAGGCGGTGCTTCGTCAACTGTACAGCGATTGGTTCGCCCAAGCCGGTGTCAAAACCTTCACGGCAGCAGGTGCGTAAGGCACTGTACAGTCGCAGCGTGTAGTTCTTGTCGTATGGTTTCCCTAAGTGCCTAGTGGACCAGTCAAAGTGATGCGTTGGGCAGTCGGGGCAGTATGCGCACCTATAATGGGCGTACCAGGCAGAGTTCGGGCGCTCAAATCTTGCAAACGACACGGAACGAAATGGAGCCACTTGTTGCGGGTATGGAAAGTAGTCTAATCTAGAGGACCAGCAAATTAGCCGTGCACTCCGCAGGAAACATGAAGAAGCTTCCTGCGGAGATGGTTCTCAAGTGGAAAGCAACTGCCTGGGCGGCCATGCCCGAGCACATCATCGAACGTGCTTTTCTCACCACCGGCATCAGCATCACAGTTGATAGAAAGCAGGATCACCTCATCCTCACCCACATGCGGGATGCAGGCGAGGTTGAGGTGGCAGATGACGTTCACACCGCTCCTGAGGTGGAAGAGTGGGTGAACCCCCTCATCGCCACAGCTGTTGAGGACGATGAGACGGCTAAGGCGATGGATCATGACGATTGTGGGGACATGCCGCCTGATGATGATGATGAGGAGGAGGAGGAGGAGGAGGAGGAGGAGGAGGAGGAGGAGGAGGAGGAGGAGGAGGAGGAGGAGGAGGAGGAGGAGGAGGAGGAGGAGGAGGAGGAAGGGGGTGTGGAGGAGAACGAGGAGTGAGGGACATGTGGGTTCTAAATGAGGCACTACGAGAGTAGAATGCATGTCTGGGATCGTAGATGTCTAGGATTGTAACGAAGAGTAACCTCTGGCTCTAACAGGTGTATGTAGGGTATTATTAGACTTCAGTGGTGTGCTTTGTAGTGTTATTGTGTTATTGGTGAAACTCATGTAGTAAACCCGACCATTTAGAGACGAAGGGGGTCTTATAATGTCCAAGGGGAAAACGGGGGTCCTCACATTTTGGTACCAAAATAAGAGTCCCAGTACCCTATAGAGAGTCACTGGGACCCTTGTACCGTCGGCTCCTATAGCAGGAATAAGGGTACATTCCGCTGTGGACATGCGTCCCAATCGATGTGTCCCAATCGGGTGTACCGCTCCGAACCGCACTAAACCAGAGAAGCGAAAATTTTGAAACTAGGGTGTAATTCGGTGTAATAAGATTCAGTGCGGTAGAATCGATTGGGACACATCGATTGGGACGCATGTCCACAGCGGAATGTACCCTAATACGTTATTGAATGTTTTAAGGAAAAAGGGCCAACACATTGGTACTTTCATACAACACTGATTTTTAGTGACATCACCAGTTATAACAACTAGCAATGCACCCAAATGTGTTATGATTAGGGGTGCATATTTCGGTCGAGAGCTTCTCCTTTAACTTATGGATTAACAATGTTAGTACATCGAGTGGGTTCTGTACCTCCGTCTCTTCACAAACAATGTTGAGAGCACCTGCAGCAGCATCCTCTCATTGAGTGGCTTCTGCACAGCACCATCCATGCCTGCCTCTGTGGCAAGGGCAGCAACGCTGCTGTCCACATCTGCTGACATGGCCACCACATGAACGCGCTGCTGCGGCTGCCAGCCCCCCTCCCCGTCCCCACCCTCTGCCCCACTCTCCACCACCACTGGCATGCGCTGCAACCCCTGTTCTCCTTGGTCTCCCCGGGCCATCAGAGCAGCGGCCTCAAAGGCGCGCAGGCGGGCGGTAGTTTGAAAGCCGTCAAGGCCCGGCATGTGGAGGTCCATGAGCACGAGGCGGAAGGAGTGGCGCGCCTGCAGCAGGCGCAGTGCCGCCTCGCCCGACTCTGCCAGCGCCACCTCCGCCCCGTACCGCGCCAGCGTGCTCGCCGCCACCCGCCGGTTGATCAAGTTGTCGTCCACCACCTGGTGCATGGGGTGGGGTGCAGGGGGGTTGAGAGGGGTGAGAACAGAGGGATGGTTGATGGCGTTGTCGTCCACCACCTGGTGGAGAGAGAGGGTGCAGGGGGGTTGGTAGGTACAAGGGGGTACAAGGCGGTTGATCACGTTGTCGTCCACCACCTGGTGGAGAGAGAGGGTGCAGGGGGGTTGGTAGGTACAAGGGGGTACAAGGCGGTTGATCACGTTGTCGTCCACCACCTGGTGGAGAGAGAGGGTGCAGGGGGGTTGGTAGGTACAAGGGGGTACAAGGCGGTTGATCACGTTGTCGTCCACCACCTGTGGAGAGAGAGGGTGCAGGGGGGTTGGTAGGTACAAGGGGGTACAAGGCGGTTGATCACGTTGTCGTCCACCACCTGTGGAGAGAGAGGGTGCAGGAGGGTTGGTAGGTACAAGGGGGTACAAGGCGGTTGATCACGTTGTCGTCCACCACCTGGTGGAGAGAGAGGGTGCAGGGGGGTTGGTAGGTACAAGGGGGTACAAGGCGGTTGATCACGTTGTCGTCCACCACCTGACCAGTGCAGGGGGTATAGGTGCGTATAGAGAACCGAATTGGATGAGAACGGAAGGACGGAAATGGCATGCCACCCGCCGGTTGATCGGATTGTCGTCCACCACCTGACGGGTACAGGGGGTACAGGGAGGGGTGGAGAGGGCTGAGACAGAGGGACAGTTGATCACGTTGTCGTCCACCACCTGTGCGGCATGCAGGGGGCATATGAGGGGTAAGGAGGGCATGAGAACGGTTGATGGCGTTGTCGTCCACCACCTGAGCACCACAGGGGGTTAAGGGAGGGGGGAGAAAGAGGATGAGCGCGGAGGGATGGAGATGGCATTGTCGTCCACCAGCTGAGGGATAGAGGAAGAGAATTGGGGTTGAGAGACTCGTCAGGAGGGTCGCATTGTCACATTGTCGTCCACCACCTGGTTGATTGAGGAAGAGAGTTGAGAGGGAGAGCTTGAGAGGGAGAGCTTGAGAGGGGGAGCTTGAGAGGGAGAGAGAGGTTGAGACGGAGAAGTTTATTGCATTGTTGTCCACCACCTGCTTGAGATCTCCATTGGAGAGAATCAAGCTCAGCCTGCCAAGGGTAAGACATAAATCACACCTTTGTGATTACATAATACCCAGTACGAGTGCAATTAGACACTATCCTTGGGTCATTAACCTGTTGGTACAACAACGAGCAGAACAAGAATCGATCCAGGGAACTCCGACACATCATTCACATCGTAACCTCTTTCCAAATGACCCCAGTGAACTGCCCTTGCTCGCATCTCACCAGGATCGCCATGCCCTGAAGCATCTCCTTGAGAGCCTCCTTGGTGCTCACAACCTTCTTAACCCCGCCCTCCACTGCGCCTGTGCCCTCCGCCTCTCCACATCCCAGCCCCTCGCTCGCACTCAAGCTTCTGTTGCCCACTCTGGCACTGGGGCTGCACCCGCCCTCCCCGTCAGCACCACAACCAGCAGCTGGAGCAGAATCAGCAGCGGCATCGGCAGCAGGGGAACGAGAAGCAGCAGCAGCAGAAGCAGCAGAAGGTGGAGGAGATGACGTGGCAGCAAGGGGCACTGCGACGTGCAGAGTGGTGCCGATGCCCTCTGTGCTGAGCAGACCCATGCTGCCGCCCAAGAGGGACACCTGTGACAGGGGAGGGGGTTGATGAAGCAGACAAGCTGAGCTTTGCACACTTGAGATGCGACACTCGATGAAGGATAATAAAAATGCATGGTACAAAGGAAAGGGCTGGGCAAGGGAGAAAGGAACCAAGAAAGTTTATTTGTATATCCACCTTCGCCGCACCTTCACCGCTCAGATCCCATCATTCGGCACCTATAGGATCTTAAACAGTTGACATCTCTTCCCGTACATGTCCTCTCCACTCCATCAGACCCAACCAGCGGAAGCTGTGCAACCAGACTCACCCTACGTTGGCAAATACGCGAATCACGTATAATTCGCTAGCGTATTATACGCTGGGTATATACGCGGTACGCCATGGCTGGCGTACCGCTGATACGCAAAAATACGCTGGGCGGGCAGGTTAAACTTTTTTCCCCGGGCAGGGCGTACTGCTGATATGCTAAAATACGCTAGGCGCGCGATTACGGAACGTCTAACTACGGGGAAGAATGCTAGATGAGACTGCGGGAAGTAAATTGAAGAGCACTATGGAAGTCGTCGATCTAAAATGCTCACGAGATGACGAACATTTGAAAGGGGTGGTTGAGTTTGAGAGGTTGGGTGGGGTGGTGTGTGGTTGAGGGGGTGGGAAAGTTTGGAATTTTGACATTCGAAGTTCAGATGTGGGTAGGGCGCTTGAGCGAGTTCGCGGTAACAAATTGCGAAGTCGCAAAACCTTCGCGAAATTTTTCAATTTCGATTTTTTTTTGGCGGGCTGCCCGGGCGTATTTTCAAGAAATACGAGCGTACTAGCGTACCACGTACATACGCAAGCGTATATACGTGGTACGCAACCCTGCCCAAGGCGTATCTGCCAACGTAGGACTCACCAGCTGGCGAGATAAGTGAAGGCTCATGCCACTGCCGCCATGTGCATGTCTCTTCTGGTGTGCCTGATGGGGGTTGGTGTGTTGAAAGGAGGCGCACTAGTGATGAAGCAGGAGCGGATGATCCATCCTTGAAGAAGCTAACGCGGTGCACTCATACCAGCCAAGAATCCACATTCCGTATGGAACGGATTGAGGGAGCACATTGAGTTAATACATGCTCTCGAGTAGGAAGCACAATGAGTTAACACTCGAATTGAAGTGAATTGCCAACATCAAGGTAAGCAACCAACTTGGCCCATGAGGCAAGATAGCAAGACCGCATTCCCTTCCATTTTAGACAGGAGCAAATGTTTGAAAATGCCAGTCCGGTGATGCCATTGAAATGCCAGTAGCAGTGGCGTACCGGACTGGCTTGAGCCACGGCGAGCAATTCGTAACGAACTGGACGAGTTAGTTGTGATGTGATGGCATCTCTATCATCAGATTACGTCTGCTTGGTCCGGAGCTAGAATCAGAAAGTTGAAGCGACCAAAGGTCATATGCTTCATATTTATTGTTGGGGCTACTATGAGAATTTATGGTGTGACACTATTTTCCACATAGGTCGGCCATGAGCTTTAAATCAGGTCAAGTATTGCGCCTCGACTAGAAACTTTGATCAATACGAGAAAAAAAAAAATCTAGTTTGCTCATGTGTGCATCATGAGGGGCAGGGCTCACCTGCATGAACGACTTTGTTCCCAACATACATACTAAGAGCTCACCTGCATGAACGCCTGAAACACGTCGCGCTGCTCCTCCTCTGCGATGCCACACCCCGTGTCCTCACACGTCAGCAGCACCACACAGCGCCTGTCAGCATCCCTCACCGGCACTGTGCTCTCCTCTTCAGCAGGCCCCTGCCACCACCTCCCCACTCTCTCCTTCCATGAGTCTGTGCCGCCACCTGCTGCTGCTGCACTCCCTGGTTCATATGTGCCACCTACCCCCCTTTCATCTCCACTCCCACACTCCTCACCCGCCCCTCACACACAAGCCGTCCAACCCCCTCACACGCGCCCCCCTCACATGCACCCCCCTCACGCGCACCCCCCTCACATGCACCCCCCTCACGCGCACCCCCCTCACATGCACCCCTCTCATGTGCACCCGCCTCACACGCACATAGACACGCTCTATCTTGCTCATCCTCCTCTTCGCTATGCATCAATGAAGCCCCCTCACCTCCTCTACAACCAACGCGACGCTCTCCGTCCTTCTTCCTCCCACCACTCCCCTTCCACCCTTGCTGCACACCACATGTTCCTCCTGTCGTATCCCCACCACCGACTGCCCGCACTGCTGCGCCCATGTCCTCACCTCTCCCGTGTTCCGCGACCTCTTCACCTTTCCCGCGCTCGTGCTCACCATCACTCCACCCTTCCACCCCTTGCCCCTCTCCCTCCCCTTTCCCCTCAACCCCACCCCCCTCCCCTTCGCCCACCCCCTCCCCCTCCCCCTCCCCCTCCCCCTCCCCCTCCCCCTCCCCCTCCCCCTCCCCCCCACCCAGGTCCATCCCTTCGCCCAGAGGTGTGCGCCAGGGGCTCATGGAGAAGCGAGCGCTGAGAGAGGCCAGCTGGTTGCGCAGCGGCTGCGGATCCCAGCTGCCCATCACAGCCCACAGCAGCCCCCGCTGCTCCACCTGCTCCCTCCAAGACACCGGCCCTGGTGCCACCCCCACACTGGCATCAGCATCAGCAGAATCAGCAGCGGCGGCAGGGGGGCGGCAGGGGGTGGCTTCAGCAACGAGGCAGCCGAGGGAGAGCAGGTGGGTGGGGATGTGGGTGTCGGGGGGAAGACATTGCAGCCGCACACACACGCCTCCACTGCTCGTGAACTTGATGGCGTTGTCTGCAGCAGGCATTTGTGGGAGAAAAAAAAAACAAAACAAAACAAAAACAAACACAAACACAAAAACCCAGTAATGGGACGAATGTTGTGTGATGGGAAGGGAACAAGAGAAGTCTAACACGTAATTTGGGTTCATCAAGTGGCAATGAACACGACAACTTGTTTGACCCTGGTGGCTCACCAACGATGCTGTCCACCACTATGATGGATTTGAAACCAGAAAGGGGTAGAGTCTAGCGTCAAAACGTGGGGTTTAACACTCAACACATCAAAGCGTCAAAACACTTGACGTTCTGGCCTAAAATTTTTGGGCAGCCCAAAATCGAGAGAAAAAAAAAAAAAAAACTAAAATTTTCGGATCCGCGCACAAAACGTGCCCCGCAAATTTGAACCCAACATTTTGTTGACGACTACTTTGAGACCTAGAGGCTCTTAGCACACCTTTAAATAACACTAGGTAGACCCCATGGGGTCACCTCCAAAGGTCCTTGGGTGCCTGGTAGAGCCAACCCCTATCCAAGAGTCCATATTTGTAAAGGGATTCCCTAAGTATGAAAACAGACGTGTGCACTTAGAGCACTCCCAAACGCATATGCGGAAACGTTGACGATTGATTAGAATGTGTGCAGAAAATTCTCCTCGTGTCAATACATCGATATACTTCACCACAAACTCTCCTTAGGAAACCCATTCTAGGGTTTCAAAATATCAATTCGTTTTCACTCTTTTCCTTCTCTACAACCTCAATCCAGGCCTAGTACCACCACATGAAGTAGCCATAGCTGAAAATCAGGACGGTGGCCCCACCCCCTCCCTCTAACTTGTTCCCAGTTTTTTCCCCTGCCCGGGTTTTTTTTGCCAAGATGTTGTCCACCACTTGACTCACCCACGATGCACCAGACAACCCGTTCAACCCAGGTGGCTCACCAACAATGCTGTCCACCACTTGCTGCAGGCGCATGTAGTCCCCCTCCAACACCTCTGGCACACCCGTATCCACACGGCAAGTGACTGGGCACGGGCACGCACAAACAAATAGTACATAATTTAAAGAAAAAAAAGGAAACAACAACACTTGCTTGTGAGATGCGTTACGGATTCTTTTTTTCTAGCAAAAGAGGAAGAACATAGCCGGAAGGGCCCGAAAACGGATGTGAAGATGATTACAATTGAGGTTGCGAGCGTGGGCGGCGCAGGCATGGGAGTGCAGTGCGTCCTTGAGCCAGGAGCGCGTGTGGAAGGGCAGGTGTTCCATGGTGAGGCGGCCGGCCTCGGCCTTGGAGACGTCGAGCACGACGTTGATGAGCGCCACGATGCGCTCCACCTCGCCCACCGCCGTCCCCACGTCCTCCCTCTGCCCCCCGTCCACCTCCCCCTCCGCCAGCTCCTCCAACATGCCTGTGGGGAGAGGGGAGAGGGGCACACAGAGAACCAGTGAAAGGGGTGTCTCCGGGGGAGGGGAGGAGAAAGCTCCGCCAGCTCCTCCAACATGCCTGTGGGGAGGAGAGGGGGGGAAGGGGGGGGGAACACAAGTTCGACCCAAGCACGTTCATCTACATGTCTAGATACCATGAAAAGAATAACAGGCACCGCAGCACATCGCACTATGAGTGAGTCTTTGCTTTGCATCGTACACCTTAACACACCATACCTTGCACAGTGCCACGATAATGCCACACTCCCCACTCGCCCCATTCCCCCCAATGCACCCTTGAGGCCGATGATGGGGGTGCGCAGCTCATGCGCGGTGTTGGCGATGAAGACACTCTTGTTTCGCTCCGCCGCCTGCGTTCTCTCCTTGAGCATCGCCAGCGCCGCCACCTTCTCCCGCACGCCGCGCGTGTTGCACGCCACGCTCACACCGACACCCGCCAGCAGCGCCGCCACCACCACGATCACCACCGCCAGCAGAACAGACGTCCAGCTGACGACCTCATCGGCACCGCTGAAGCTGCGAGCAGGGGAGTGCATGGGTGACAAATGGGTAATCAGAAGTGTAAAACCTTCTTTTATACGTACAACTGGAATTGGGTGGAGAATATTGTTGTGATGGGACGGCTATGTTGCAGCGTCTTCGTTGCGAGGGTCAAAACACTGGACGCTAGATTACAGAAACCATAGATGCACGAAAAAACACTTGTCGGGCATGAAAAAAAAAAAGCGGGCAGGCAAAAGAGTAGTCGAGGAATGGACTGATTAGAAGAAAATCCCTCAGCGGACAAATGACTCCGCCCGGAGGAGCTTGCTGCCTGCGGGCAAAAAAACCAATACAGGCATGCATCCAGTCAAGGAGGCATCAACCCTAAACATATTGTCGCATGTGTTTAGGGTTGATGCCTCCCTCGGATGGCATGCCATGTGATGGGGTTTTAGTTCTTTTCTGCCTAGGGGCAGCAAGTCGACGAAGGATCGACGGAGTTGTTGCTTTATTTCCGTTGAGATATACATCTCACAATCCCGTAAGATAAATCTAGGCGGTGGAAAACTATATTTCTACGGTTCGAAGCTGGACAACAAGATTCAGAAACCATCCAATGGCGAAATTCTGATGTTTGTGGGAGCTATTATTGATAGTGTTGGGGCTGGGTTTACTAGATAGTGTGCACTGATGTGTGTTGGTTGGGGGTGGGGAGTTTGGTTGGCTTGGAATGTGTCGTTCTCGTGCAGACACGTTTTTTTCCCCATACAATTTATTCCTTTTACCCCAAGGTCAAGTCAAGCGCTTCACGTTCTGTATAAAAAAGGACGTGTTGCTACGCTTGATGCTAAGCGCTCTAAGTGTCAAGTCCAACTTAGGTGGAGGGGAGGAGAGCGACAAGATGTACGGTCTGAACAAGCAGATCAAAAAACGTCAAGAACGCAACTCACCGGCACCAAAGCTGATACGATCTTGATGTATCAGTTAGGTTGATTTGCTGCACCGACTTGTAACGCTGTGGCTGTAGCATGGTTTCGTTGGAAGGCGGAATGAGCTTGGCCACTTGCATGGGGTCGCCTTGAGGCAAGTCACCCACCCCGTACAACAGGCGGGGACCCAGCGGGGTGGAGGAGTTGGGGAGGATATCCGTGGGGGTGACGTCATACACCTCCAGAGAATAGTCCGCGCCTGTGACAGCAGAGAGGGAAACACTCTGTTATGGCTTAATCATGGTGGTACACTTGTTTTATCTATGTGAACAGCATCTTGCCGAAAGCATGTGAGAGGAGCAACGTGCAGGCACCTCGGCGGAAGGGATGGAGCAGCAAGGCCATGGGCGCACCTTGGCGGAGCAGCATGGGCGCACCTTGGCGGAGGGGAGCAGCATGGGGGTGATGGGATCGGAAGCACCTTGGCGGAGCACTTCGCTGATGATGAAGGCGGCGAGGCTCTTGAAGTCGATGGACGCCGCTATCAGCCCCACCAGCGCCGCCCGCCTCTCCTCCAGAGGAGAGGAGGTCGTCACGCCGTCCCTGAAGATCGGAAACCCCATGCCTGCCCGCATGTTGGCAAGGGAAGGGAGAGGGGGCGGGGCAAGAATGTGAGTGAGGGAGAGACACAAAGGGAAGGAATTAGCAGACGGAGAATGTGGGGAGAAGAGACAGGAATCTAGGTATCGGTGAACAAGGAAAAAGTAGAAGCACTTCATCCACAGGATGCTCCCAAAGGCCTGCCACACTCTCCAATACCTTGGCCCCTCTTGGCTTATTCTAACCACGGGCCCTCGCACTCACCCTCGTCCCACGCCACTCGCACTCACCCACACCCACTTGCACTCACCCACCCCACTCGCACTCACCCACGCCACTCGCACTCACCCACACCCACTCGCACTCACCCACACCCACTCGCACTCACCACACCCACTCGCACTCACCCACACCCACTCGCACTCACCCACACCACTCGCACTCACCCACGCCACTCGCACTCACCCACACCACTCGCACTCACCCACGCCACTCGCACTCACCCACACCCACTCGCACTCACCCACGCACACTCGCACTCACCCACACCCACTCGCACTCACCCACACCCACTCGCACTCACCCACACCCACTCGCACCCTCACCCACACCCACTCGCACTCACCCACACCCACTCGCACTCACCCGCAACCACTCGCACTCACCCACACCCACTCGCACTCACCCACACCCACTCGCACTCACCCACAACCACTCGCACTCACCCGCAACCACTCGCACTCACCCACACCCACTCGCACTCACCCACACCCACTCGCACTCACCCGCAACCACTCGCACTCACCCACACCCACTCGCACTCACCCACACCCACTCGCACTCACCCACACCCACTCGCACTCACCCACACCCACTCGCACTCACCCACACCCACTCGCACTCACCCACACCCACTCGCACTCACCCACACCCACTCGCACTCACCCACACCCACTCTCACTCACCCACACCCACTCGCACTCACCCACACCCACTCTCACTCACCCACATCACCCCTTACTCACCCTCGCCCCCCACACGCACCCATGCCAGCCTCGCCATTGTCGAGCACGTAGGGCATGTTGAGCAGATTGGCGGGCAGTTGGTGCATGCGCGCTAGCTGAGGGCCGTACGAGGGGTGCGTGCGCACGTTGACACACGTGGATGTCATCTTGAGCAGCGGAATTGGCGGGTTCTCCTGGAACCACACGCGCGAGTTCATGTACCAGTCTGCCTCCGGGGCCGGCTTGCCGAGAATGTCTAGTAGCTTGCACTTCGCCGCCCTCTCAAAGGCCGCCCTGCAGTGGGGGGGAGGATGGCAGAAAGGGAGCGCGAGAAAGAGAAGGAGAAAATAAGGGAAACGGGGCTTGGGGAAGAATCAAGGACTGCTGGAATTGCGCTTCATACAACAATCGCAACAAACTTTTCCATTCATTGTAACGGGTCACTTCATTGCCACACAGCACAGCAATCATTCGGAACCTCACAAACAACAAGGGACTCTCTCTGCACGACTTTGAGTCTGCCTTGAATGTGAGACAGAGAATGGATGGTGGGGAAGAGAGGAGGGGATGGAGAAGTGGAGTGAAGACAAGGAATGAGAGAAGGGACGGAGGGAGAAAGGGAGGGGGGAGGGAGGGGAGAAAGGGGCGAGGGAGGGGAGGGGAGAAAGGGGCGAGGGAGGGGAGAAAGGCGAGGGCGGGAGAAATGGGAAAAGTGGGGGAGAGGGGGGAGGGAGGGGAAAAGGGGGGATAGGAGCGGACCTATCGGAGCCGTTGATGACGGCCATGTACCCCACGGCATGCACCCATGGCTGTGCCGCCACGGTGCGCTCCACGAGGTGCACGAAGCGCCGCTGCGTGAGACAGCTGCCCACCGCCCAGGGGTTCTGCCGCACATGGCCAAACACTGTTGCAAGCCCCGCCAGCACCTGATGGGCGCATCGCATGGGATGGGGGAGAATGGGAGGGGCACGTCCGTTCATTGTGGGGCGGAACGCCGCTCGCACAGCAACGGCTCGCGATTTTAGCAGTGCGGTGCCCGCAGAGGGTTACACAGTTACGGCCATATTCCCTCCCCCACCCACCTCCCCTTCGCCTCCAACGACCCCTCCGAATTCGACTTTTGCGACCCCTCGACTCTGCACAATCTTCCTTCGCACGCGACCGCCCTCAAGATCGTGTGCTGTTTTGGTCCAGTTGGTTACGGCCGCAGTCCCTTTCTCGCCACGCAGTCAGCTTCCTGCCTTGGCGCGTGAGCGGCAACGCCGTCCTTTCATAAAGGCGCACTCTCGTTGAGTCGCTCCTCACGACCCGCAGAGGATCGTTCGCTGGGTTCAATTCTGATAACCCATGTCGAGTTCTCGCTACGAGCGGAAAATGTGGCCCAGGCGGGATTCGGACCCTAGGCTCTGATTCCAGAATTAACGCTACCCGCTGGGCCAAAACCCCGCTGTTACATGGACGGCCGCGGCGACGCCGCGGTATAGACGAGCGCGCGGCAGCTTAGACTCGAATGGAGATTTCGAAATGGAAAATGCAGCTGAAGAGTGAGCTCGATAAATCTCAATCGGTGATGACCTAGCAAAGCCGGATCAATTTGCGTGACTGGACGAGCGGCGAGGTCAAATGCGCGCCGCAAGCGACCCGTCGGCGGTTTGGTGACCGTTCCGCCGCGATTGTCCGCCGCCGACGACGCTAAGCCCGACGCCACAGAGCAGTCAAAGCGGCCGCCGCCGGCCGATGGCACACGGACGGACGAACACTTCCGTCCATTCCCCGCCGCGTGGTTGAAGGGAATCGCTTCTTTCGACATGATGTCGCGCATTGGCAAAGTAACACATTTCTCGCCTAACAGCCTGGCCTGCACGTGAATGTCTCGCCTAATAATACTACCCGCACGTGGTCGGCGGTCTACCTGCACGTGGTCGGCGGTGAGCATGAACTGCTGCTGCAGCGAGCGCGCGCGACCGGCGCACCAGGTGTCGAGCTCCGCCTTGCGATTGTCGTCGAAGCCCTTCTGCACCCTCCACGCCACCAGCCCCGCCAGCACGCCCGCAAGCCCCATCCACACCGCCACCGCCATAGCCATTCGCCGCACCACCTTCCGACTCGCCATCGCCTTGGACGGTTTCCTCGCGGTCTGGAAAACTCTACTACCACTGGCAGGGGAAAGGTGTTGCTGTCTAGCCTCCCCACGTCCTTCGCCGGTACCAAGGTGAGGAGTCATTTGCGTGGTGCTGAATGTGCCAAGAGTCCGTTTACGATCGGGACACAGCTCAACAAATCGGGATGGCTATCAAACCGCTCTAGAACGCAAAACCTGACCGACACGTAGTCTCGAGCAAATTCATTCCCAACGTAGGAACGACTTAGTAGCCATTTCATCCGTGCTACGTCATGAAGCCGCCAAACTCGGAGTTTGAAACACGGGAAGTGCAGTGTATAAAATATTTCGCTAGGATCATTTACGCTAAAGACTGTGCAATAGAAGCCGCCATCCACGCAACGCACAGTTCCTAGCGCCCAAGCCCTTGTGTGCGTGGCAAAGCTATGGGTGATTCAGAGCTTGAATACTTTCAAATCCTTGGTTTAGCACTGTTCAGAGCGGTGAGTCGCAGTTCAAAGCGATGAAGCAACCAGAACACTCCATATTGCACCGCATCGTACTCAACCGCAACAGCTGAACAGAAGTGTAGAAGGGGTTCGACTGTATTGGATGGGCGTTGCGAACACCTTGGCTGGACACACAAGCTTGCTCATAGGTCCAGCGCGTGGCGCAAGACGATTCTAGACGGTGGACAGTGGTTATCAGGCTTCATTTTGCACCGTGACGAAACACAAGTACCGCACAGAACGAACGAGGGGGACGAGCGTGGTGGGTGGACCCGCCGGGCTGGGCACGGATGATATGAATGTTCCACTAGGAACAAACGTCCATACATGCCGACGCATACGCATCCCCTCGCAATGATTCGCACCAACAATCTCGTTTGTGGTCTGCCCAACTCGGTTCGGGTGTCTGGGCTCCCAAAATTAAATTCCGCCCTGGTTGTGTACTCAACCCAAACCAGATCCAGTTTACAGAAATGCTTTGGTCTGGGTCGCGACCCAGCCATGGGATGGCTGCTCTTTCGGCTTCTGGGCTGGGCCCTGCCCTGCCACGATTCCCCCCAGCGTACGCCTAACCAAGCCAGCCCTGGTCTCACGTGTCGATTCGTTGGTGGCTTGTGAAAATCAATGGAGCAAACGCCTCCCCTCTCCCCAAAAATGGATTGTCGTGGACGTTAGGAAGACCCATCATGAGTTTACAGCCAGACCGAATTGAATGGAGTGATCACCGCCGCGGTGGAGCTCCATCCAGAACACACTGTTTTCCAGGAATAAGTACTGGAGCTTACTATGTACACCATGTGTGAAATCTAGTACAAATGCAAATCCAATGAAACAAAAGCTTCTGAAATCTGTATCATGCTAGAACAAGTTCTTTTTTTTACTAGTATATTTTCGAAATTAAAAAACCAAATACCCATGTTGCTGGATCAGAACAACAAAAAACCCTATATAAAATGACATGCATAATGGGAAGCATTAACTTTAAACACGTTAATGCATTAGGGCTTTTGTCTCCCTCTGATGGCATGCCATCTAGAAAGGTAACAATTTTCTTCCCGACGGACAGATATTTACAGTCGACAATTGATGACGATCGAACTGTCGGCCCCTTGTCTCATTTTCACCCGTGGAGAAAAGGGAGAAGATAGGCGCCTGAAGTCGTTTCAGTCTAATACCACCATGCTACCTGATGTTCCCGTAATGAGCACCGACTGCACGTGCACTTAAATTCTGTGTAGTCGATGATCACCCTGTCCCAAAAAAAAATCCTCATCACAGTCAAAATTTTAGTCACCCGCGAACGTTTTTTATCGGGAAAATTGACTAAATTAAGCGTTGTGCTAAGTTTGGGAACGGTCATCAAGTTGTGGAGATCCAACGTTTACAATGCGTAAACAACAAGGGTTTCCCAATGCATGCGTCACCACATAAGTCATCAGAAATGTTGACCGGGTTATGAACGCATTCCACTTTCACTTTAGAGTCCCATTTTTGCCCGTTGAGACATGGCCGGAAATCAGAGAATTGCCAAAAACCTGTTTCGGTCCAATGTCCTCAGGCTACTTAGTAATGAGAACCGAATGTATACGAAAATGTCTGGAGGAGGAGAATATCGTTCAATAACACAACTCGTCTGGGCTGTCGTAGATTCTGCACTCCTGGCATTGGTCAGCCACAATGCCAAGTCAGGCGTACAGTATTGCCGCTGTGAAGTTACACTGTGTACAGCACAGCCCAGTGGCGAGGTCCAGATCTGTAAAACGGAATCTCAACTGTACATGGCTATGGCGGGTTCGTTTAGCGCGTTTCATTACGTAAATTCAGGATTGAACAGAATTTTCACTTACCCCCATCTATATTGTTGCCAACTAGGCCCACTCCAAAACATCTCCAAAAGCAAGTACCCTGAGCCTTCTCGCAAGCTGCCTGAACGCAGATCCACTCCTCTCTCAACCCTCCCGTCGAGACCAGAACCAAAGCCGGATCTTTCAAGATGCGCTTTAGCAGATCTGAGACTTTCAGTGAGGCCGCTGCGGAAAAATTCGCATGCAGTGAAGTCAGTATGATCGTCAGCGAAAATAAAAGCGGGACGCAAATCCGAGGTGAGAAAAACACCCCCTGTACCGTTGAATCCGTGAGCCTTAGCTAATGTGATATTCCAGCGGCTCATGTTGTCGTGGCGTGGGGTAACATAGACGTCATGATATCGAGTCAGATGCTGTCCTCCGCAGTAATCGCAGCTGACACTCGGGAAATGAATGAGAAACTTCCTCCCTGGTAGGGACTTAAACTCCACAACGTGCAGCCACCGGTACTCATCAGAGACATGAGGGATGACCAAACCCTTGATGCTGCCGGTATCCATTCCGGAAATGGGATCAATCGTCCGGTGAAAGCCGAAACCACTTGCGAAAGCACTCTTACCCCTCTTTACCACCATTTCCTCAACCAGCGTACGGCGGACCATCTCCGGTGGTACCGCCTTAAGCACCACTTCAACGGCCAATGGGTTAGCAAAATGATTCGAACAGGCCTCAGGACGCATCGCCTCTGCACGTCACAGGGGGCTTTGCGCAAGCCAGGTTCTGCAACACGTGCGGCAAAAGGCTCTCAGAAGCTGAGTGATTTCAACAAGGACTTTGGAAAGAAGCAGGAGAAGTAAGGAACAACGACATGGATGATGAAGCATACAGTAGCGGAATGACTGGAGCCATAGTATGAGGTTTTACCCTTGTAGGAGGAGTGCTGGCCGTGATGTTGTCCTTTGCTGTAGCAGTCTGCATTTCATCAATGAAGTCTTTAAGCCCGTGGATGTTGTGGGGCTCAAGCAGGTTAACCAATGGATAAAAACCACAAGCTTATCTTCCTCGAGCTCAACATCAATGGGCTTGGCAACAACGGCAAGAGAGAGAGATGTGGATATTGGATCAGAAGAGCAGCCAGTATAGTAATTCTAACTGACACCAGGATTCCTGTAGATCACAATTTCTAGAGTCAACTTTAACCGGATGCGGAAGCAGCAGTTTCACCGGATCAGAGAGCAAGTGGGGTGGCTATTCTGAGGTTCACACCTAGGTTTCACTTTAAAGATGTAATAAGCCATGAATCGGGGAGGCTTCTTAGTGTTACCTTCGCATGGCAGTAGCAGGAGTACTGAGTTGTTGCCGTTGATTTCCCGGCGCAATCCACTTGCCGGGGGGAGTTCTTCAGGGACGCTTTGACCCCATTCGTACACAACCTACCATCCGCAGCTCACACCATCCTCATGGGAGACCTGAACATCGTTGGTGACCCGGACTTGGATAAGTCTTCCAAGCTCGGGTCCCCCACTAAGAACCAGCGTCTTCTACAGGTGTGCAGCAGCTGGAACCTGCAAGACATCTTCAGGACACTGCACCCAACACGAAAGGAGTTTACTTTTTTCTCACGGTCGGCAAAGGTCAGCACGAGGATCGACAGGATTCTGGTGCCAGGCACACTTATCGGCCACGCGACGGAAGCTAAGCACAAGATGGTCTCGGTTGGTATCACGGGCCACTGGTTTGCAATACAGGCTACAGTACAGGCAGCGGTACCTAGCAGAGGGGGACCCGGGCTCTGGAGGTTGCAGATGACGCAAGTAGGAGTAAAGGGAACGAAGAAGATTATTGAAGCAGTAGTGAGCGAGGACCAGACGTGTCCGGACCAACCTTTCGATGGTCTCTTGCTAAACTTGAAGGCGAGCCTGAGAGCGCACACAACGGAGGAGAGAAAGCGGGTGAAGGCAATGATCCTACATTTGGAGGGCAAGGTGGTGAGACTCAGGAGGCTCCTAATGATGAACCCAACGGGTCCGGGAACTTTATCTCGTGGCCGCTCCTCCTTCTCTGTCCCTCCCTTTTCTGTGCCTCCCTTCTTCTTCCTCACCCCATCAGGTTCCTTAGCTCTCTCTTCATGCCTTGGGTTGCTGCCCCTGCCTTTCCCACTTGTGTGTTCCTAGCACAGTGCCCAACTCCAGGCCTACCTAACGCGGCTGACTGCCGGATGGCACTGAGTGAAACCCTCAAAAGGCTTGCTGGGATTGGTTCCTCCACTTGGCGCAGTACGAGTAGTGACAAGGGTAGCTCTTTGCTTATAGAGGAAACATACAAGCAAGCAAATGATTCTTCTCGTGTTGCTTGCCTAAGTATGTGCACTTGGTTACCGTTGCTCCGCAACGGTTGATGTTGTTTCGCCATTTCGGCCTAGTTTCCCGCTATGGCGCTATTCGCCTCTGGTCTACCTCGCTTTAATCCTACTCAGTATACTATCCTGTCATGCTTTTATATTGCTATGTCCTATGCACTATTCTCCAATTAAATGCATGACAGCTGTCGGAAACTTTATCTCGTGGCCGCTCCTCCTTCTCTGTCCCTCCCTTTTCTGTGCCTCCCTTCTTCTTCCTCACCCCATCAGGTTCCTCAGCTCTCTCTTCATGCCTTGGGTTGCTGCCCCTGCCTTTCCCACTTGCCCCCTCCTCGGCGC